AGGCAAGCAATTGGTTGATGGCTTTTGATAATACCGTTATCAGATTTCATGCTGAGGAACTAAACTGGAAGCAAATAGACTAGCAGAATTGGAAAGAAAAATGCACACCTTGGCATGGAAGTTTATTTTTTGTGGAGAGTTGTTGGTCTGCAAATAAACTGTTAGAAAATTGTATATTGACTTCTAAGATTAGATTTCTTATTGAATTCTTCATTTTTTTTTTATTGAAATCTTTAGTATGGTTTTTTAGATCGATCAGCTAAGAGGGAGCATGGGAAGAAATAAGCATATCACAGCGACGAAGCTGTGGCGATCACAGGAGCGAATTTACTGCATCGCTCAAATTCTTCCTCCTGGAAACACATCGAAGTATCTATAAGTCCTTGAAGCACGAGTGAGGTCTGTAATTAGATCTCGAGAATGGGGAACAGTTCGTACTCCATTTCTTTAACGAGCGAAGCAGGAAATTTTTCAGGAGAATAAGCCAGTGCTGACACCGGCGTAGGCGGTTGCGAAAAGAATATGGCGGAGTGAAGATAGGTAGTACCCAAATCATCCTACAATGAGGAGGGTATAGATGTGGCATCAGGAACGTTGACAATCTTCCGGAAGAAGAGAACTGGAAGCGGTTTATGAAATTACACTGTAAATTTATTTGCACTTGTGCAAATATTGGTGTGGCAGAAAGTGATAGTAACGAAAATGACACCAAAGATGTTTAAGAATATTTTTCAGGAGTTCTTGAAAAAGCCTGAGTTATGGAAGAAGAAAGAGAATAGGTCTTCCATGTGCCGGTAATAGGAAATTTACCGGTTACTGGAATATCGTTAACTGACTCGAGCGCAGTAGTTTGGAATACTAGTGAGCCTACTGCAGTTGGTAAATTTTATTTCATTAGTATATTAAAAAATTTCGTGTGGCTTTGAATGAATTTCGAAGATGAATTTAAGTATTTGTTGTATTTCTAGAGTATGGTATATGCCTAAGGAAAATAGGAATTGAAGGGATGGACGAATCCATCCCAGAAAAATGCATACAGGGGATTTTTTTTTACACTGTTAGGATTAGAAGGAGTTTCTGAAAGTAGAGAATTGTTTTTTGTTTTGAAATAATGCAAAACTCCACTCCTTTTTGGTCAATCTTTGTCTTTTTTAAAGGGTACAGCAATATGGGATTTCTACCTGAGCTCAAATGAAGAAATTTTTTCTGTGCATTCAGTTGAAAAGCTATCTTCATTCAAAATAAAATGATGATTTTATAAACTGCTTCTATTTCTCTCTGTTCCAGAACCACTGCTAAGGATGATTGGCTTTCACTCCTCCATCTCCTTTTTGCAACTGCCTTCGTTGTTAACCGATGTCGGCACTGGCTTATTCTCCTGAGAAATTTCCTGCTTTGCTAGTTGTTAATAATCGTGAAAGTGAAGAACGAACTGTTCTTCATTCTGAAGCCGAAGTATTGGATTTGTAAGATGAAATTAATCTAGCTCTTTTTAAGTTTTCACAAATTTTAATAACCTATAATTTATAAATACTTTCAAACACAGCAACATCGTTTCACACATCTTATTCATCGGAACTTATTCCCATTCATTTTTTTCAGAGAAACATTAAAACTAATTCAAAAAAAAGACATAATATAAAGAGAAACATAATGAAATATTCGCTCTTTTGCTTACAAAAGAAAATCCCTCTTAAATATAATCACGAACAAATATAATATTTAAACACCGTAGCATAGGTGAGGTAATGAATAGCATTCTGTGTGTTTATTGAAAACACTCACAGCTACTGATCGCCTACAAGTTCAAGCATGTCCTGTTTGTCTGTCCTGTTCGACAAGATATACTTTCTCACAATCTAAAGAAATAATTTTTCTTTTTGCAGTGTTCCTTTACCAGGAAAAATTATGAAATCATCTGATCCTCTTAATTTTTGTAGCCCTTTTTGTAATTAACAAACACATTTTTGTTTGTTTTGTGGCAGTTATCCATTAAAAAAATCAAATATAAATTTGAATTTCGACCAAGATTTCCTTACAAAACATGAGAATACTTCAATAGTGTTTGCTTCATCAAGGAAAGACGATATCCTCTTTACTACAACATTGTTCATTTTCTTGACTGTGTATCAAATTCGTCATTTCTCAGTTGATATTCCTCTAAGTTAGTTTTTATATATCTCTTTTGGAAGAGCAAGGAATTTTAAATTTGTGAATTTACTTCTGCTTTTATCATCTGTTGTATATGTTCTCATTGTTCATTCAGTTTTCAAATCATTTTTATAGTGGTAACTTCCTCTCCATCTTTCATCTGTTAGATGAGTGATAAGTAATCCGTTTATATAAATTACTTATCAGTCAGGCATAATGCACGATTAAACGCTTGGAAAATTGAACAAACTGAATGCTTGGTGTTTATTCCAATGTTTTTCGCTCAGTGAATAATGATTTTTCTTTGTTTGTCTTCCATGTTACAAAGCTAAATTTCCTTGGATATGAATCGTAAGTAAATGTCCTATTAAATTTAATAGCCTTTGCTAATTGGTAATTATATACATTGGTAATTTTCGATAATAGATATTTTAATATGAAATTTTTTGATGTTATTGTATAATAAATCTTGTTTTACTTTTCTACCACCCAGTGACGTGTAATTGATTAATTATTGCTAGGACATTAGATGACCCTTTAATTTTATTGCATTTCATGTATTGCGTCTAAATCTGTATTAGTTTGATTTTTGGTGCTTTAATTTTATTGCATATATATGTATATGGCTAGATTTGTATTTAGTTCTGATTAGTTAGATTTTTGTTGCTTTTTTTTTTAAATTCATTAGCTGCATTTTATTAAATCCCGCGAATTTCATGATCATTGTGATGTTTGAGAGCACCGTTATCTGTACTGCTTAATTTTGAAAAATTATTTGACCATCACTTTTGATGTAGTTGCAAAACAGATTGCGAAATAATTCATGGAACTAACAATCATGAATAATCTAAATGTTGTCTATATTTAGTGAAATGACTCATTATGTCGAATAAATTGTAGTGAGCAGTTATGAAGGTATTCATACAATGACTACTTTAATGTATTGATAATCTCCAAAAAACTTTGAGTTGTTTTATAATTTTCATACACCAGTCTTGTAACTGAAAGGTACATGACATGCTTGCGTACCTCTTTAATGCAAAGTTTTTTCAACTACAAGAATCCGTTAAGTAGAGGGAACTGGACTTATTGAGCACAGAAAGTAACGCTCTGCTATCATTATTTAGTAATAATAGTTTTAATGACTGGTATTAAGTTTCGTAATGGAATGCAAGCATTCATTATAAATGATAGAATTTATTCTTAAAATATTATTCAGTCTATACTATTCTAATTCACCTAATTGCATTCTCTCTGTCCCATTTCTCCTTATATGATGATCAGATTGCTATCTCATACTTGGAATGTAAACTTCAAATCTGTGCACGACTATGCTTTGATTTTAATGATGCATTAACATAGTAAGATGTCGAGCAATACCATCTTAAGGTTATCCTACGCTGCTCTATTTACATGTTTCAGATGTCATCTATAAGAAAAATAAATGCAACGATGTTAGCTTTGATGTAGAACTTAATCTCGAGAAACCATGTATTGAAAAATATTTCAATCACCGAATATCATTTCAACACTTTACAAAACTCTGCAGCACTTCAAATTGAGAGAACGTATAAAATAGTCTTAGCAGCTATATTTCGTCCACCCTTATTTCATAAATTACTATAATAAAAGAAGAAAAAACTAATAAAAATTTGAAGTTAGTAAAGCACTGCCATTTCAATTTGGGGTCTGTAAAAAAGTAACTGAAAAGAAAGTTATGGCTGTAACTATTCCAAAAGGTAAGATTTCTTCTGGATGAGCCTATCATGATTCTTCAATTAACAAATTTAACTTATCTGATGAGCGAATCACTCTATTTATTCATTTGACGGATTCATTCAAATTACTGTATATTAATTTGTTCGACTAATGAGAGAAAAAGCTGAACTATATTATCCTAAAACTAATTTGATTCTCTGTGCATTTGAAGAGAGATGTGGGAAGATTTAACCATGATTATATAAAGCACTTGAAAGAAAACGAGAAAAATGACATGTCATGAATTTTGATTCATTTTTAAAATCCAATTAAACTAATTTCAACAAGGGATGGAATTCTGCCTTCTGTAATTTTCATCCAAATAATTCATTATTGTTTGAATTACTGCTAAAGTTGATAAAACTATAGCAGTAATTTCGCTGTATCATTTCAGTATGAGTTGATAAAGGAAAAAGGCAAATTTTACCATGTTTATCTTGACTATAAATATAGCACTGTCTTCATTTCCTTGATTTATCACATGGACACGGAGTAAGTGATTAAATACATGAAAAAGAAAAAAGTTGAAATTATAGTGTTAATTATGCTATATGACTTTATTGATGTACTCGTAACGTAACGAATATGCCTCATGCTACCTTACACCAACACTGACACTTAACTATATTGACTCTATTTAGCAAATGTCATGTCCCTTATCAGAGCCATTTAAATAAAAAACTACTTGCTATCTAAAAATCTAATTTCAATTTCAAAGTTTCTGCTCTCAACAACGAATTTCTTCGATTTCTCAAAGAAATGAGTAATAAATAATAAGCTTATCCTTGGCCAAAATACTAAAAAGCATCGACTTTGTCGATCAGTGGCGAATAGCGAAGTACAAATGGGCTAAGCCACTCCTACTAAGACTTACCATGAAACGTCTAAAGAGGAAAAAAGTATAATGAAATTCGCTGAACATTTTTCCTTCCTCTGTTGCTTTTCTTTACATTAGCGTTTACCGCCATTGCCGTTTTCACGAATAGCAAACACTCTTTATAGTCTTTACAGTCAATACTCTATTCTTATCTTCAATACTGACGACTTATCATCAGTCTCATTATTACAATTAACATCTCGTAGCAGTGTAAATGAATTTCTGTGTCACTCTCTTGGCACTGACGCATCATTGTATTACGTGTATAAATGCGCACTACCTCACGGAACACGAATATGAGCAGGTAGTTGTTATTTATTCGCTATTCCTTTGTCGTTTATTACGATAAGTAGTTATACCGCATATTTCATTAATGTTAAGGCGATAAAAGGTGATACAGTAAAAGCAATAAAGACACGATAATATATATATCATAATTTTTAATATATATCATAATCAAAGTTTGGTTAGCCTATTTATAGTATATTCAGTTGAAACAAGTGAACATTTATAATGCATTTATGGTACTTAAGGTCATGATAAAAGTTCGCCAAAAACGTGAAGAAGTAACGGCACGATCGCAAGGAGTTAACAGTATAGAAATACCATCGAAATTACTAAGACTATCAAAGACACATCAATTGAAACAAGTGACAGAACAGCACTGCGAAACAAATAATAACGATAAATTGGCTAAAGTAAAACATTTTAAGATTCTTGAACTATGAGCTATCTGTTGATATTTTGCATGTCAAGCATTTATGTTTATAATAGAAGTCAGAAAGGTACTAAAAAATAGATAGATGCAATTCATCTGCAAAATTTGGAAGATAAATTGCAATTTTTCTATGATCTATTACAAAAACCAAAGTGGTGAATTTCGTGAAACTTCCTCGAATATCATGAAAATTCTAAATAATGAAGTTATGTTATTGTTGGACAAATGTTCAACACTGAATAATCGGATAATCTTGGCTAAACTATAGAAAAAAAATAAAGGAAGAATGAAAATGGTGAAATAGATAAATGGTGGTTGACGTTAGAGAATAGAACATGAAAGAAATAAACGAGGAGGAAAAACTGATATGATCAACATCTTTTAATTCGTGAAATAAGAATGGTAATTAATAAATTTTTTTGTTTAGCTTATTATTATTCTTTCATTCAACTTTAGTAAAATCATATATTAATAGAGTAAAATTCATTTCAAGTCGGTATTGGAACATCTGATGCTTTCGTATGATCGTAAAACGGTACCAATGGCGGATGGTGTTAATGTGAAGGTTGATCTAATGGTTCAGGCTATTTCTAGTATATCCGAAATGACTGCTAGTTTTACTGCAGATGTGTTTTTTAGCCAAATTTGGCTTGATCCTGGACTGGCATTCGAAAATGTCACCAGGTAGATTATTTTTATTAATTAATTGGAATTTCTTAAATAATCTCATACGGATAGAAATGAAGTATGATAGTATTGGTAGTTCTTTTTTCTTTTTCGTTTTGTAATAATAGATATTGTAGATGCTTGGCTAATTTAACGCTCAGCTACCGTACCATTGATGATATTTGGTTGCCAAACGTATGTTTTCAGAATAGTAAATCTACCTCAATACATAGTAGTCCAACCCCAAATATATTTCTTATGATTTATCCTAATGGTACAATTTGGGCCAATTATCGGGTGAAGGTATCAATTTACTAGTCCTTCATTGTTTTATGCAAAATTTTTATGCAAATATTATGATATATTTTCAATTACATATGTGATATTCAACTGCATCCAGTGCGAGAGCTAATTATTGAGAATACAGTCCGTTTGTGTTTATAAAAATTACTGAAAAAGGATGCGACAAAGGATAAAATTTTAAAAATAAGAAAAGTTTCCAAAAAATGTCTAACTTTTTCACTTATCACTTGATAACAAGAAATGATTTTTAAATCAGTTCATTGCAAATATTTGGCGAAAAATTAGGTAGAAGCACCATGTGAGTTGGATATGTCATCATTCCCGATGGATGTACAGCGATGTACTATGACCTTCGAATCTTATTCCTTTAATGTTGATCGTGTACGACTGGACTGGTTCGAAACAGCTGTTATTCTAGATTTGCAGGTTTTTCGTTGATTATTTCAAGTATTGTACATTGGGATTTGACTAAAGTTTTTCCTTTGATTTTAATTCCAGAGAAACTAATCTACCAAGCTTCAAGGGATCATACATTAATAATATTATAGTAATATTGTTTATATTAATTGTTATCAATTCATATACATTGTCAGAATTCTCAGGTGATTTAGCACTCGGTCCTTTTCTTGGTTGTATTTATTGTAAATGTAAGCCGATAAAATCAGTTCGTCGGCTTACATTGCCTTTTTCTTCAATTCATACAGACAATTAGTGAGAGTAATATTATCACAGAACTTTAAGATATCGCTTCTCTTTCTGCCTCTTTATTATAATTAGTGAAGCTATTAAAAAAAGCTTAGTACTCTGTTTGCAGGGGAAATTACCAGATTTTGAACTAACACGCTATACATGGCAGAAACAACAATTTTATTATCCTGCAGGACAGTGGGATCAACTGAAAGCAACTTTTTACTTTCGTAGAACTTACGGTTATTACATTTTGCAGCTATACATGCCTACGTATGCATCTGTTTTCATTAGGTATATTTGTCGAAATCCAGCTTGATATTTGTTTAATTCAAAAAATGCAGTAATCAAAAATTGTCAGCTCTTTTGACTTTAGGAAATTCATTGAATTTCAATTATGATTTCCTTCCTTTTTTCAACGAAAATTCGTGTGATGTTTGATGCATTAATGAACGGTTTCGAATGAATTTTTAAAAAATTCTTCAAACTTTTACTAAAAGTCAATTTTCGGTCATTTATTTACCAAAAAAGAAGAAAATCAGGAAATAAATTCAAAATTTACGCTCTTTCCTGCATTAGTAGAGTTTTCATTGATTTCCATATCCATTAGCTGACACTTTTTAACAAAATTTTCGTTGATTGCTAAAATTTCATTTAAAAGTAAGAAGAAATCAAATTTAATTGTCTGAAGGAAAATTTTTTTCATTCAAAAGAAAAAATCTTTTCTTCGCACCATAAAATTAGATACGTTGCAGAATAATAGAGACACCGTACATCTCGATCTAAAATTGTTGCACGAAATGTCTAACTCGGTCCAAATTGATCAAAAAAGTTTGCATGATTTAAAAATTTGAATTGAACAAACTTCAACTTCGGTTCTTAATTTTCATGAATTATGGGAATTAAATCATTTTGTTGCTCACAAAATCAAAAAATACTAGTAGAAATGAAAAAAAAAATTCATTTCAAAAATATTTACAGAATTTTAAAGAAGTGAAAACTTTTCACTATTCAGATTTATTCATTTAAATCTCTCAAATTCCTTGAATCAACAAACTGTCATATTTGTTCCATTAATTTTTACTGCTTTTCGTCTGTTTCGAACCCCAAGAAAGACAGAAAATTTATTCTGTTATCTTGATTCGAAAATTAAACTGAATTTCATAGGAAGAAACCAAATAGATGAAAAAATGTTTTATTTTTTAAGCTGGATAGCATTCTGGCTGGATCCAAAGTGTTTGCCAGGTCGAATAACCCTCGGTGTATCTTCACTGATGGCGCTTACATTTCAGGTCTTTTTATTTCAAACATAATGGTATTCGAATTTACTTTAATTAAGAGTGTGGCCGTTGGAATAAAAAAGTAAATTGGAACTAAATTCGTCCTACTTCTTTTTCGTTAATTGCAATCTCTAGATGAAAGAGAATTGTGTTTTAGTATGGCAATGTGGCTCGAAGTTTACCTAAGGTTTCCTATGTGAAGGCAGTGGATGTTTGGATATTTGCATCCATGGTAAGCACTGAAAGACTTTAATTATTTTTACCAGGAAAATTTTTATATATCAATATTTTAAATTCATTTGATTCCGAATCCTGATTAGAAATTGAATTTGGAAACAGCCATTATGGAAAATTACGGAAAAGTAGTCTAAACTGTTTTCAGGGTTTTATATTTTTTTCACTGGTTGAATTAGCCATTGCTGGACATGTAGATAAAATGGCGAACGATGGCAAAGACGAAACGTTTGACAAGGTCGAGAAAAGAAAAAGCTGTATCAAATGCAACTGTCAAACAAAAGCCCGAAAAAGGCAAGTTAGGAATTTAGATAATATTTACCTTTCGACCATGACATACCACATCGCTGCAAGATCGGAATGGATGCATTCCAAACAATAATCAGTTTGCCAACTTGATTTTTTTTTTTACTTTTCGGAACTGTTTTCCTGATTTAAAGCGATTCAAAATATAACTCATACGGCCTTTATTGCATTTTATTTTCTGAATATTTCCCAATTAAGCTAAGAGAATAAGAGGAAATGTGTTTTGTAATAAAGCTAGTTGAGAGGTCAGGAATTAAGGATGAGTCAGCAACTTAACTTTAAAACTAGTATTGATCAATGATAACTAATTACAGAAACTTATCCTACCACTTTAATATTTATAAAAATGAATTGCTGAGGTGCTCGCAAACTAAATGACTGTTTCAAAAAATTAGCTATATGAAAAGATAGAATATTTGACGATAGCAAATTGAAATCAAAATACTGCAGACAGAATATTTGGCGATAACAAATCAAAATCAAAATGTTACAGACATAAGGTATCATCGGAAGCATACAAAGTAAGAATGAATGCAAGCGAAGTTCATAAGCTGGAGAAGCTTTGCTATCGCGATTTGTTGAGTGATAAGAATAAATCAAAGTTTAAATGGACGGCTGAAAAGGTTTTTAATCTTTCATTTCAAATGAGATTTCATTTTATTTAATTCATTTTGCTTACATTTACAATTATGGCAAACAAACTAGGACTAGATTATGCAGAAGATAGCTATCTCTTTCGAATATCAATGTCTGTTACCTTATTGGTCTATTAGTCCTGTATTTTGCGACGTTTTGCAGAGCCATAGGTTAAGGCTGAAATTAGGCATATGTATAAAAGAACAGAGTGAGTAATGAAGAACTATCTTCTTTGTACTAATTTTACTTTTAGAACTTTTCGCGCAACACATTTATCTTCTAATGAAATCTCATCATTAACGTTAGTAGAGAAGCTAAAAAATTTTTGATTCTTATGATTCAATTCGTGGTATTGATCAGAAGAAAGTGGAATTCACATTTTCAGATAGATAAACTTTGTCAGTTCATTTTTCCTCTATCATTCATATGTTTTAATTGCTTTTACTGGATATATTACACCACGGAATCATCGAAACAAATGGAAAGATTGTTGGATGATGCCAATTTCACTGGCGGATCTTTTCTACTAACCAAACGAAACATCGGATGACTTTTTTCCCTTTTGAAAATAAAAGTGAATTAGACAATAGAAAAATCATTTTATCATCATGATTACTTTTTGTTATCTAAAAACTTCGAATAGACTTCGAATAAACTATAACCCATTTTCCTCTTGAAATTCAACAGTAAATCTTTGTCTTACACTATCATGAAATATTTGTCCACATCATACGAAGATTATGAAGGATGCAAATATTTTATAATTGTAAATAAAGGTGTGTTTTTATTTGTCAATTACTTGTCAATCTGTAACAAACATTACCATTCTCCTGCTGCAATAATTCTTGCATCTATATATTAGTGGAAAAGGAAGAGGGAAAGTGAATAAACTAGAATTTTTTTATTAATTATGTACCTCATATAATCTTTTTGACATGACAAGAAAAAAATTATATGCGATAAACAGAATATAGTTTATTAATTAGCTAATACCAAAAATAAATATTTTAGAAAAAAGTTTGAAAATATTTAAGGCTGAATATGTTATAATTGAGCTTTAAACTTATACGATGTTCTAATTTTTTATCATTGGACATTTCTACAGTATTTTCTAAGACTATTCGACGCTGCATACCAACAACACCTTGCTTTAGTTTCGTATCACTGAAACTTTAGTCATTATTCTTTAGCCATATGTCATCTTCGAGTAATCTCATATTCAATTCGAGTATTCAATTTGAGCTTATTATACATCAATACCATTGCTATCATAATTATTCTTATCGATATAAACGGTTTTTCAGCAAAAAGTGTACTTTTTGCATCGCTTTTGTTTTTATCTTTGCTTTTGCATTAATTTTTGTTGTCGTCGCTGTCGCCGTCGCCGTCGCCAATTTTTATGTGATTGGCAGCAATAGAATGCTTGTAAACGAACTGATAAGGTCAAATACTGGAAATTATTTATTGATTTTTTAATATTACCTCCATTCAGATTGTCAACATAAAGTTGAATTAGTTGGATAACTATGAAAGAAGAATGAAATCGAACTGGAAAAGACTTTGTTTCCTTTTTTCTTTCAATAAACATTCATTTTAAGGAAAATTGTTGATATGTAATAAATTATATCAGATTTCTTAAAGCACAAAATTCAGTATTCCAATTTTTAATCTTTCTTCAACTTCTCCTCATTCGCTTACCTAGCTGAATTATCCGTTAGATTAAAATCTTATATTCAGCGAATGAAATTTTAATAAAAACAAAAATTTCTCTTCCAGTTTTTACTCTCGCTCTCTGTTATGGTGTTTACATTTGAGTAAATAAAAAAAAAAAAAAAAAGATATGATTTAGATTTTTCTACCTATTTTATAAAAATGCATTCCGATAAACGAATATGATGAAGATAATTTGAAACATTTTTAAATGAAGATACTTCTGGAAACAAAAAGCGAGTTTTAGGCAGTTAAACGCCATGATTTTCAATAATTGAAACGGAATGAATGGAAGGAAGAGTAAAATGACTATGGCAAAGTTAAGATCTTTGGGAACTTTTCTTGAAAATGTTCCATCAAACCTCATTATCATTATCATTCATTATTATCGTTGCCATCAACAGCAGTTTAATTGATTCCTTACAATGAATGGAGTATGTTAAGAAGGTAATTGTAAACGATATTTTTACATCCTTGTAAATATCTACTGTTTGTTTTAAAGAGTACATATTTTTAGAAATAAAAATTTCAGTAATTAAAGAAAAACACTTCTTATTTCCCTGTGCAAGCGATTAAAATAAATTATTATCGTTCATCTAAATTAATCTTTATTTTCCGAATAATAATTCAGCAGTATGATTTGTTTTAAAGGAAACGAGAAATTTTACATAGATAAATTTAAATAATATGAGATGCTTCCAAATGAAACCTGTCTCATTGTTTATTCATTAACCTATGAAAACAGCAATAACATTGGCAAACCGGCTAGGTTGTTGATGAAATTATTTTAAGAATTTTCGTCAATATGATTACCCTTGTATGTTTACTTATTTAGATTATGCTAGAGAAACTTATCACTTTTTGTTTACAATTCGGATACTTTCAGGCCTTTCTTAATTTAATGATTCATATAGCTTATGCTTTCGTTTTTTAATTCTTTTCATTTTAAACGTATTGGATGTCTAAATAACAAAGTCTTCAACTTTTTGAAGTGAATCGACAAACTAAAATATAAAATGATATATCATGATTAAATAATTTAATTAAATCAATTAATTCACTTTTTAATGTTATTGACTCGTTATTGTAGAATGTCACGCAGCATACCTTCCTTTTAAACAATTTTCTTGGTTTCCATGAAAAACTTAGAGGGATCATTCCGGAATGCTTCTCGTTTAATTGTTGATTCTCACTCTTGTTGTTTTATCTTCCCAACATTTATGTTGCTCTGCGGCGAATCATATAAAATTTTTAATTAAATTATAAATTATAGTGAATGATAAAGCGACGTTTGCCATAAAAGATACTATAGAGTAGCGTTAGATGCAGTACATTTAGTAAATTAGATCAAAGACATTAAATAATCTTTTATAAAGGAAACAATGTTCTCTTTAATTTATTTACAATTGTTACAGATCAAAATTAATATCAATAAAAATAACAAAACAGCTACATCTGTAATTTCATTCTTCCAGAAATTCTCCGAGGTTTTCTGGAAGAGTCAGAATATTATTAGGGATAAAAAGGAAGCTTAAAAATATAAGGACGCATCATGATCGAGAGAGAAAAAAGTGGTTTAACGCCTTTTTTACTAATCCTTATTTCAGTTATTAACTGATTTTCAAAATTTCCAACTGAAAAGTGAAATGGAAGAAGAAAACACTTAATTTTCAAATATTGTTTTTTATTAGTAAGTGCAATGATTGCAAAATATTACTACACCTCGTACAACAACAATGTGTTAGTGAACCAAATCAAATGACATTCGATGTTACTATCACATCCGAAATCCATTCATTATTTTCATCGTTTTTATAAAATCTAAAAAAAGGAAAACAGTCCTACATTTTTAAATTACATCGTTTTGAATAATTAACACTTCTTCACTTCCCTTATGCTCTCCTCTCCATTCTCTCTTATACCGTTTTATGTCGATTGATTTTCCATTTTCATAAATTTTCCACTATTTTTTGCTTTGAAATTTACTACTTGAATTATCTAATGCTAATATTTCTTTCTTGCTATTTACCTTTTTGAATCGAATATTTCAATCGGATTTGTAATAATATTTGGTTTCATAAAAAACAAAATGGGTTAAAAATTTTGTTTAAAAAATAAGCAAACCAAAAATGTTATTTACACAGTCAATTAGTTCGAATTGCTGTTGTTCAATTGATAATTCAAGGATGCAGTATCAATTTCCTGAGAGAGCATTTTCTCTCTTCTCTCTTCCTCTCTCCTTCCCTCTCATATTGCAATCACTTTTAATTCTCTTTCCGTTGATCATATTTTTCCCTCGTACCCGTAAATCGTTTATGGCATATTTCACTCGGTTCATTTCATCCATCCAACCATTCATTCATTCCATCCATCCATCCATCTATTTTTTTTTTTTTTAATATAAAGTGTTTTCATCATTTTTAAAGTTTAATTTAATAGCATTTTAACGAATAATATCATATAATTAATTTAATTGTAAGAAAGAGAAGGAAAGAGAGGTGTGAATGAAGGCAAAAAAGAAAAAATTAAGTTTATCAATTGTTACGGAAAGAAAGGTCAAGGAAAATGCTTTCGTCAAAAATGTAAATTAACACATGAAATTGACCTTTTGAATTCCCGTTGGCTTCTATTTGAATTTTTTTTTCTGCTTAAACACAGTTAATGATAATGTAATTTTTGAAAATAATAATTAAAAACAGAAAAAGAGGATAAATAGAAATATCCGTTCTGGTAACGATTATCAGTGATTATTACTGCCATATTTATTGTCGCCATTGCTATCAGCATAATCATCCAATGGCGATAACATTACACGGAGTTCTTTACTTATCACTTCATGTCTTTAACCTTTCTTTATTTCAAGAGATACTTTTAGTTCTAATGGTTAAATAATTTAAATTATTATTTTACACAATTTCTTCTAAAATAACAAGTGATTCTATGTGATTTGTTGTTAAATTGCGATTTAATTCAAGAAACATATTTACTTGTGCTTTATATCTCAACTATCCAGCATATTCGAGGTTTCCATGAATTTTCTCTTATGGTACTGTCATTTTCAGTTCTCATCTCACATGTATGATCTCCCAAATTGAAGGTGAAATTTCTGGAAAAGAATCCTTTCCCGCACCTTTTATACCGATTTTAATAGTTGTTGTGAAATCTATCAGTAAATACCATTTAGAATCTGTAACTGAAATAGCTAAGTGCTAAAAGTCTTTTTTCGTGAAATTTCTTTCTTTTTTCCTATCACAATAAAGGTGAAAAACTATAAAGACTATAAAAATGAAAAGTTTCAAACCGATTTTTCAATTTTTTGTTAAAATTAAGAGGAACGAGTTGTTTTTCGTTGAGACTATCACCACTTATCGTTCTATGAAACGTGCAAATTATTAATTGAATAAAATTACCAAATCCGGTTTTTTGTTGAGTAATTTTGATTTTGAATGTTGAAAAATAAAACGAAACAAAGATTTATGGAAATGGGAAGGTATTCATTATTAGAATTTGACATTACATGTGTTAGATAAATGAATTATCTTGAGTTATAATTAAATATAAAAAAGTTGAAAAATGCATCTATATAATAGGTTCTTTTACCATTTTTTTCCCATGTTACTTCATCATCCATTAACTAGCTGCTATTTAAACTATTTACGATAACAGGTTGTCTTTCATCTGTTATCACTAATGCAAGATTAAAGATAATTTACTCCATGATCTGGAATACTTCCACTTAGCTCACGTAAATTAATAACGGTATTGTTCAGCACAAAAAAAAGGATGGTTCATTAATGTGGTGAAGTTAAAAATTATTTTAGAATTTAGAAATGAGAGATAAATACAAAAGACGAAGGAAAATTTATTTGAATTGTTGACTTGCCTTTTTAATTACTTCAATCGATATTTTTTACCGGTTAACAAAAACTAATATTAATTAGTCCATAATACTGTTTTCAGAAGCTTGAACAATGGTAGTTATTAGTGCAGAAATTTCGACACAACAAAAGATCAGCAAGTTTGCTGGTGAAGAATTTGATGTGAGTAATGTGCGCACTGTTTTCGCTGGTGCTTCTAAAGGTAGCAAATATTTTCTTAAGTAGTTACAAAATGAGCAACTTAAATTTGTGGATGAATTCATAACATAGTAACTTGCCTCTCGAGCTAGATGAAATATTTCCATCCTTCTGTTTCTCGTTTATAACAAAAATTAGTATAAAACAAGTTTTCATAGCTAGAAAAATTCCGGGAAGGAGGATGCTAATGAAGGATAAATAAAATAACTAAATTTGCACATGGTCACTTGAACATCCAAGAATTTTCATTAAAAAATTTTTCAGTTATCATCCAAAATTTCCAGATAACATTAAACGTGCTGATCGCGTTATCTTATTAGTTGGACCAATTGGGAGTAATAAATCAAATCTAATTGATTGTATGTGTAATTATTTTTACGGTGCTAAATTCGATGGCGCTCGATATAAAATTGCTGATGAAGTAAGATTTTTTTAAAGAAATACTTGATGTTTTTTTCTTGACACTTATATAATGATACTAATGCTATTAATGTTTGTTGTTCGCTCCAAAGATTCTGAATAAGGCAAACAAAATTTTCCAGGACAAGCTCTCAATAATCTATACCTTCTTTTATTTAATTAGATAATGAAACTTTACTGCAATATTTTAGCAAATAATCCGAAGGAATTAATTCGTTGCTCAAATTTTATATTCAGGTAGTATAAACAGTAATTTTGGTAGCATTCCTGTTATTAGAAGTAAAAAAAAATCCAGTTGTGCTGGATTATTGCGGTAGCTTCAGATATTTGACCGGCATAGTACGCCGATGAAATCAATCACCAAATATGTTTTCAATGCAACGGCTATGTCATTTCGACCAGTAATAATCGATACGCCAGAAATTACTATCGACAGGTAAACTTCTAATGGAGCAGAAATTAACTGTAACTGGAAATACACCTTTTTCAGAAGTGACAGTTTAAATCAGCAATAATGATTACATTTTATCAAATCCTATTTACAAGTATATGTTGCATAACATTTATTGTTTTCACTTTTTCAAAAAAATCATTTAAATTTTCTTCAAAGACATTTTCTGTAAACACAGGAATTTCTAAAGAAAGATCAGTTTTTCTAGAAACCTGTCTTGCTTCTACAGCTGCAATAATATGGCATCTAGTGAATTCTACTTACTTTCATTAAAGAACACTCAATTCTCATATCGTTATTCATCTCCATCTTAACTCTTATCCTATATTCGTTATTTTCTCTATCTTAATTCTAGAACTATTTCATTATTCTCCTCCAGTCTATTTTTAATATTGTAATTTATCATCTTGCAGCGAACTACCAATGAAAGCAACAGCCCGCACATTACATGACTTTTTAGTTGAAAGTCCACATATACATATCAATGCATTATGTGTTGTCTTAAAATTTGACGAAGCATCTATCAGTAAGGATGAAAAAATAATATCGGAAGTGAGTTATCAAATTTTACTTGTTGAATTGCTAGCTGGCTGATTAATTATTTAATAAAGCTTTTTTACCGAAATTTTTGAGCTAATTTTGTTGCAGGCGATCAACTTGTTTCCACCTTATATGTTACCGAGTACAATAATACTCTTTTCATCAAACGATGAGAAACCTTCTTTACCATCATCGATCAAGCTAGTATTACGTGATCTTAATTTGAATTACAACAAATTTTATTTCTTCAGTGATTATTACCTAAAACACAATAAAGGTTTGATATAAAGTTTCTTTCTTGCTTTTATCCTATTATATCTGATGTTATCAAATATAACTGGTTTTACCGATGATAAGCCACTAAAAGTTGAAGTGTTTAATTTAATTAAAGAAAAAATCTCAGTTCACAGATTCGACTATTCTCCTTAGTATTGCTGTAACAAATTTTTTTAATTTGTAAAAAAAAGTTTTTTTTGCAAACGCTTCTGAAATTGTTAACAACCGTTTTTGATTCTTTTCTCTTTGTCTTTTTACTAAAACAACTCCTGATTCGGTTTTTCATCTTTTGCATTTGTTATCTTTATACAAAGTAATATTAAAAACAGTTTGGTTTTTATCATTTTTTATCTTAACTAACAAAAGTATAAAACATTTTTTTAATTTTCGACTTTTTCTGGAAAAAATTCTGCACTTTCTTTAATAGCAGCAATTTGTAGTTGTCAAATAAATATAAAATCGCAGATGTACATTGATTTTTAATTAAATGAATAATAAACTGAGAATAAGTTTTTTGTCACGTTTTTAAAAACTTTTAAGTTTTGATATAACAAAGTTTCGGTGGTGAAATCAAAAAAATTTTGCCTTACTCATTTTATATTAATAGTAAACTTCTTGCTTTATGAGTTGCGCACTTAATTTCCATAAGCTGTTTTGCTAAAAAATCTTCCAATTCCTAGATAGTTGCCATATGTTAAAGAAAATAATGCAACATTGTTTTTAGGTGTTTAAATAAAATTCCTTTCTTTCCAACAATCTTTTTATTTTTTTCTCAATTATGATATGCACTTACATCGTGTTGCTGTCACATTCTATGTAAACATGTTGCCTGCTTATTTTTTAATCTTTAATTTTTTATTTGTCGTCAGCTAAGTTAGTTGTAAAGCCTTCATAAGGTTGCAACAATACTATGTAAAAGCATTTTGCAATGACTGATGCAATCAGTTGCTAAGTAATCAATACATCATCAATTGCATCATCTTTTCAATTTATTCAAGTTTTTCTATTAAATTATTTTAGAAGTTCAATTAAAAAATAGAACAATAATAATAACATGCTTACCTGTATCTAATCCGGGTATGACAAACTGTTGTGATACATACCATATTAATCACTGAAGAAGGATTAAAGTCGTTCACTCTCTTTTTCTTGCGAAACATTTCTTACTTAATTTTTCATTTGGCTCATTTAACAAATTTGTGAAAATCAAATTTAAACTTAGATTCAACTTAGTTTAATCTTACTTTTTTTCCATATCTTCCAATTCTTACTTCGGTTCTTTAAGGTAATTTTTAATACATAATATTGTATCAGTGTTATTTAACTGGTTCTACTATTTTTAACTTAACACTTTTTCAAATGAACAAACAAATCAAAGAACAAAATATAAAAACTTAGCAAACTATCTGTCTTTTTAAATGATCCTTTCATGTTTCGTTTGCGAAGGTCATTCTCAAAAAACTTCTCGAGATTTTGAAAAATATCAACAAACAAAAATAAAATTAGGTTTTAAATACCGAAATTATTCCCCATTAATAGCTAAAACATCATCATTCTGATAAATATATTGATTGGTGTGCAGGAGAAAAAGGAAAGAAAAAAATAATTCATGTTTTTTTTTTTTAATTTCAGTTTTTGTAACTGATTTTGTTATTTTCCATTCAGATTGGTTTTTTACAAAAGAAAAGGTAGAAAAAAGAGAGAGAAAGGAAATTAAGAAAGAGAAAGCTTTCAGCCTAGACGAATCATAAGGTTCGGTTAATAATGGACTTTCACTATAAAAAAATTAAGAGAAAATTGGGCTGCAATTTAAAATTTCCTTTAACTTTGTGAAAAATATGCAAGTTTTTGAAATTTGTTCAAGCGTGAAATTTGATGATGATTTGGTGTACTTTCTGCCGCCAAAATAAACTGGTTTATTGCTCATACACACACACACACACACTTGTACACATAAACATACACATGTAGAGTTAAAGCAAGCAATTGGCACTGTGATCATCCGTAAACGGTTTCGATTGTATCAAAACATAGATAAGAATTCATTTGGCATACAAATCGGACAAATATATCACTCAATAACATTGTCTTCAAAATTTTTAGATTAATTTTAAGTCTCATATTTCAAATATGTAGATGATATAGATGTCAATAAAAATCTCCATGCTAATTTAATAGAGCAATCGTTATATTTCTTGTGAATATTTGGAAAAACTTTCAATATTTTAAAACAAATATTTAGTAATTTGTTGAAGTATCATTCCTACTATTTCGTACTAATTAATTAGCTGATACTGTATGCAATAAACAATTAGCATACAAAAAACCTATGATGTTGTTGCAAAGTTGTTATGCACGAATATATCAACATTGATGGGTTTTTTCATTATTTATCAACCTATTATTTTTTTCAGTATTTAAATTTGCAATAGTTCGAAACAGCCCTTTTGCTTTTTTCATAAAATGATAGAATTGTTGATGAGATGCTATTGCTGTGATGCCTATTACATTCTTCCATCGCTAAATGCAATTCTTATCGGTACTGGTACTTTTTTTGAGGAATATTTTTCCTATCCATTGTATAATACAAGCATATGGTACATTTCCCTTCCATTTCACAATTCTTCATCGTTTATTTGCTCTTTTTTTGTTTGTTAACACTGATTTAAATAAATAATTCATTATATGTTTAGTTGATTCTCTCATGTAATTTTTAAATGTGTAATTAGAAAACAGAAAGAAAATAATTTTGAACAACAAAAAAATTTGCCATAATTTTAGTATAAGAAAAAGAAATCAATAGAATGTGTAACCTGCATTCAAGTATCAGTTCTTAAATGATAATAAGTGATTATTTAATTATTATCACAACATTCTTTGCTTAATGACATTTCTGTTGCTTCTTTTTCATAATATTACAGAGAACAAACAAGATGATGAAATAGAAAATCAAAAAGAGAGGCAAAGTTGGAATTTGTCAATGAGTGAATTAGATCGTTTCTTTGAACAAGTTAGACGTTTGAATCCGCGACAAATTATTCCTGACGAAAATATCGAATTCCTCGATAAAGAAATGATGCAGCACACATCAGCTTTTGCACCATCTACAAGGTGTATAAATTTACTATTTTCAATTTTTTTTAGGTAGAAATATAAAGTTTTGATTTTTGTTTACTACTTACTTATCTCTGAACAAAAGCTGATATTCCATATTTGAGATTTTTTGACTAGACTTGAGAATAAAGTGAAAGGGATTTAAACTTTCCTATCTGTCATCTGTTCCGGCTATTACTGTGCTTAATCATAATAGTTTTTGTCTCAAAAAGTTATTGTTGGTATTGTCGTTATAACCTTTTTTCTGAATTTTACTTAATACTCAAATACTTCTTGATAGTGCAGTTCACTGACTTTGAAATGTTCTGATGCCATTTCGAGCTTCATAAAACAATTAGGGCAAAAAGCTGGTATGATAATTTAGTCGATGCGAGAGGTAGCAAGCTAGATTTTCATAAATTATGTGTACAAAAAATTCCTAAATATAATTAAAATTTATTGTAGAGCTGTCCCACATGAACGGATTATTCCAATCAAATTGGTCGATCGAGAATCGATAAGTGTAAAGACATCGGCAGCTCTAAAAAATTGGAATTCGCCTGTAATTAAGCGATATTTCTATGATCCGGAAACGATGACACATAGAGAATATGTGATGAGCTTACAAAAAAATGGAAAACTATCGGCTGGGGAGTACGCCAATGTTCATAATTTTGATACTGGTATTTTTCAATAATTTTTTCCATTAATTCAACCTTTTATTCTAATTTTTTCGTTCTACTTTTTCTTTATTTATTTGTACGAATTCTTATTTGTTGACTGATAAAAAGAATTGCAGAAGCTTTATTTGATAAGAAGTACTACAAATGAAGATTTCTATTAAATATTACTAAAGTAATGTTAGTAATATGACTATCCGTTCAATATATTTTTTTACTCCCATTAACTATTGAATTGAGTTATAAATTAGCTTTACCAACGTCGAATTCAGTCATTTCGTTTAATCTATACACTGACTAGATAAATATACACGCTGATAATGCATTTAGAAATAATGATTAGTAAAAAGCTTTTCTTATCTTATTATGCTGAAATATCGAGAGAATCACTGGCTTCATTTTACAGTGACACCAATCTATAAAGCGCATGAGACATTGATAAATGATATTCCACTAGAAAATCAAGCTATGAAAGGACGAGAATTATCATCAGATGAAAATGGAGTAGCATATTTATACGTAAGGAGTACTCCACCACCGGAATATAGCACTGAAGCGGTAGCTGTTCTTCATCAGCCATCAGATGATGCCGAATCGGGAAAAACGAAGATTAAAAAACGACTATCGACAGCGATCGACATGGAATCACAACAAAAGGTAATCAATCTGAATGTTTTTCATCCAAGATTCTCTAGAATTACTCTAGAAATACTATGATTTGGTAAGCATTAAATCCTTTTTTGAACTAATTCTTGAACTATAACATTCTCTGGTAATGGCAACAAAATTTGTAGAATTTTGTTAATATCGAAAGTAACGACAAAACAGTTGTCAAACACAAAAATATGTTTCACTTTAATTTCCGGATTTTCCGAAATGATACAGAATTAAAAAATTAAAGGATTTTTAGGCACATTCTCAATATTCAAAATCAGCAGTTCAACGGCAAATTGCTAGACGTACATCCAGCGGATCGGAACATTCCAAAAGTTATGGTTTGTCACCGCAGCAGCAACAGTTACCAAAACGGCAAATCAAGCAAACGAACCAAGTAATCAAGAGGTTCGTTGTTTGGTTTTCTTTTATTCTTTCTTTTTCTTCTTTTCTTGCTCTTCTTTTATCTTTCTGCTCATGTTTGCCTTACTATCGAAAATTATCGATGTGATGAAACTAGAATTTTCTTCTGCTTACCTGTCATTTCATCGAACTGTCACTTCGTCGACAGAATTTAAGATTAGAAGATACTGTTCCAAGCACAAAATATGCTATTCATAGTAGAGCTTCTCAACGACAGAACGATCAAGAACATAGAAATTACTTGAAAACACCGAAAATGAAACGATCTAAATCACCAATTCTACTACGATTACTGATGAGCAAGAAAAAACTACATCCTTCTACAAGTTTCACTGATGCACAGGAACAGTTAGATAAAAGCTTTGAGCAACCACGGGCACTGGAAACTGATCAAAGCTTACAGTCGGTTGGTCACTTCAACTTACATATTACAGTGTTCATATCTTGTAAATGGTTTGTACAAGAATTTTATTAAAATCTGATATGTATAGTATTTTGACTCTGATAGAGTAGATATTAGTAATCTGTGATAATGAATAAAGAAGATTTTATAGCCATTGAGAAGCTATGGACAATTGATACATGACGATGAAATGGAGGAAGAACGACAAGATGGGACGATTCATTTGTCCGAAGAAAGTCCAACAACAGCAGCAATTTCTCGACAAATACTTCGTAATCTTCTCTTGTCATTTTCTTTGCTCACTATTTTATGAAATTAAAAAGCCTTTAGACTGTCTAATGCCAGTTAATTCTAGCTGTAATTGAAATTTTTAATAATTTCCTTATTTATTGACGTAGTATCTTTAAATCATTTTTTAATTTTAGTTTTTAAAAATTTTACCATATATCGGAATATATGGGTTGACAAAATTCGTATAGCGACATATGGCTCTTGTAAATCACAGTCTGTGCAACAGGTGGAAAGTTTTTCTAGGCTAGTATGATGTGCTGCCGAATTAGCAAGAGATTTTACTCATTTTAGGCATTTAATGTAAAAATGGTATTTATTGATGCTTTCAAAAAAAAGTTAGCAATTTAAAAAATTAATCATTATAGGACACGAAAAAAAAATCATTATATGGTATTGCTATGAGTTAATTTAAATCAAGATGATAAGGCTTTGTAAAACTTGTAGCAAAAAATATCAACAGTGTTGGAAAATCTAATTAGTTTAATACAAAAAACAAAATTTGCATGAGCTAAGAGCATCGAACCAGTCTGACTTTCTAAATTCGATTACATTCAGCAGCAAAGGACACGAAAACATTTTTATTAAACTTTCCTTTTTTCCTTTATATAAGTAAAGAAAATTAGACAAAGTGTATGAAAAAAATGAAATAGATTATATATTAAGTTTTTTTGTTCAACTACAATGCAATATTTTCATTTAACTGAAGAAAGAAAATGAAGAAGTGGGGAAAAAATTTCCGAAACCGTTTGTCTGTTTGTTTTTAATAAAAAAAACCAAAATCGATAGGAATGAAGGATGCGATGGTTTTCAATTCGTTTTGAACATTTCACTGGTGGACAACAATTCTTTACGATTACTTTTTTCTTATTTACACATTTAATTGTTTTATAATTACTATAATAGAATAATTGATGACTGGATGATTTATAGGTACAGAAAAAGCTTGGGTTGGAATGAAATCTGGTCGCGATGTCAATGAACGTGATGAATTGCTTGATGTTAAGGAATTAAATCTCGAAGAAGGCCTTACACCACATCCATACAAAACGGATCCATGGTTAACTTCTTTTTTCTGTTTAAAAAGTTAAATGGAGAAAAATAAAAAGTATTGATAAGCACTGCTAAATTAATCATGATAAATGTATTCCAGTTAAATGATAACTAGTAAAAGGTTGCTGGATTTTATTAACTTCATTAAATTTAAGAAATATCACTAAAATATACTTTCAAATGTACAACATATATTTACATATATTTGAATTATAAATGTACAGCATATATTTACATATATTTATAACAAAACTTTCAAATCTTATTCAAATTCCAATTCAAATGTAATGATATGAATAATTAATTTAAAAAATTGAAAAATTAAATCAAGACTTCGAATATGTCTAGAAATAATCTTGGCAACGGTCAATAAACAAATTTTCAGCATAGCAGTAACAGTCGTAAATCGTAGAAAGGATTGTTCGGCTGAGCGTAAAAAGAAAGTATTGAAGTTGTTCTGTTTCGTTTTTTGCCCAATTTTGTGTTCAATTATCGCTGCTGTTGTACTTTTCATACTTCTTTTCGTTCTTTGACTTTCTTCTGACAATTCAAGTTTTTAAACTCTAATTAAGTATGATGGGTTTTTTAATTAGATCCCTGCGGTTTTGTTAATCGTCATTTTCTAGTAATTCTAATTATATGAAAAACTCTCCAATAGGCGTTATAAACGATTTGCTCGAGAACCAAAAACTCACAATACTGATTTAAAAGTCAAAATAAATAATTCTTAATATACTTTGGAGTGTGTTGTTAATTTGTCAGTAATTTTCTTCAATCAAAACAAAAATTGTATTATAACATTTGACGTGTGATGCTATTAACAAGGAGCAAGTTAAGTATGATTTAGTGATCCTATAGAACCGAATTCCTAAAACCTATCTGACAACATTTAACAGTATTGACGTAATAGCTATATAACTACTGGCTTTTATCACTGCTGCTACAGCTAGAGCGGGATTTATTTTCAGAAAATTCTAACAAATAATAAATCGAACAGAATTCGTAGCCTTCACCAGATTTTTAATTTATTCCACACGTCTTTGCAAGTAGTTCGATTACTTTGAGATACATGGACTTAAAAACTACTTTTAAAAAAAAAAAAAAAAAAAAAAAAAATAGAGCCTATAAAGTTTGTGGTGAGGTAACTATTGCATTTTCAGACAAATGCTAGTTGACTTTATGAACTTGGAATTGTAATGAGTTATTTAGAACTGTAATTGAACAGGTATTAATTTTCAAGAATTCGATTTCATTACAAACCCAACACTTTTAGGTTTACATAGAAGTTAGTTAAGCATCAAGACAATCTGATAAAATGAAATTTTCTCGATCAGCTTATAAAATGCTTAACTCTTGCAATAATAAAAATAATAATTTTAACAGTTGACATTGCTGATTCAAAAGAAAAAAAATTATTTCTCGATTTTTCTATAAGATATTTCTCATTACCAGTTTAGTGGTATATATTTGTTGAACTTAGCTAATTCGTCTTTGATCCATCCATTCATTTATTCTGCATTTGACTGTTTTCATCATTTTCTATTTATAGTGACAAATACCTTCGGGAAGTGCCCATTGAGGCAGCAGTTTTCCTGATAAGTAATCAAAATAGCTATCTTGGGAAAAATCATGTTTTCGTTTTTTCTTCTAACAAATTATAAACCTTTTAAAATAGGCTTGAAATTCCTAAAATGAAATTTAAGGACAATGAATAGAAGAACAGACAAAGTTGGTGCTGATGGAGTTGGCCTGATGGAAGTTAGGAAGACGACCTATTCAACATGGAATTGGATCAACTGTTGCTTTTATCTGCTTGCGCCACTTTTCATCTTTTTTATCATCATCGCTATCATAATAACACTTGCTTTATTAGCATGACTATGCATAAGTATGGATGAACATATATGGGCTTGTTTCTTCTGCTATCGATTAGCAAAAATGCTAATTTCGATTGTTTTCGGAAAAAATTTAATCGATCCTCTATTAGCTGTTCTTTCCTTTCATCAACTTTTTTTGATCATATGAAATCTATTGTTCTTCGATATAACAAGAAAAATTTCATTTTTTTCAGATTTACTGTTAACTATGATATACAGGTATGATGTGATATACAAATGTTCATCCAACTTATGGGTTTAATGGATTAGAAATTTTACATAAGAGGAAAAATAATACCTAAAGAACGGAAGGTATTTACCAATACGTGCGTAAAGTTAATATATGTGGAAGTATGAATTTTTTTTTTAAAAAATTTGCAGCTCCTCAGTGAATTATTAACAGAAATAAATCATTCAAATTTTATTACCGGAATTCTGTTTGATAAATGTTTCAACAGGAAAGACTCCAGCAATCATCCTTTTTGTATAATAAAATTATTTTATTTCTAATTTCTAGTGTTCACTTTGTCTTATTCACGGCATTAAATCTATTATCACTTTACTGATGCTACTTTATTGATTTTTGTTTATACGACGAAATGATTCTATTTCACTTTAATCTATACATTTGCTCCAAACTGTAAATATTGTTTTTACAAAAACTGAATTTTAATTAATTTTAGTGTTGCCATTGTTGAAATTTAAAAAAAAAGAAAAGTAAATAAACGGAATATCTGTATATTCGGAAAGTGTTCGAATATAAAAGAGTATAAATAAACAAGATAGAGTGTACTCCAAGAAATACTAGGAAATGCGTCAACACATTCAAATCGAATATTGTAGAAGAGTAAAGGTCATCTTAAGACAGCAATCTAAGGTTACGCGGGATTTTTCAAAATCAGTCAAGTGAATAAACCGACTACGTTACACAGAGCAAAACAAAAAAAGCACAAAGCAACCACCTGAAGAAGTGCCATTCGTCTTTTTCCCGCGAAATTTGTCGATATTTTGTATAAATCATCAAATTATGTGCTCTATTTCTTAAATTGTATTAGTTTTATTTCTTTATTAAGTAGATCTTTAACTATTCTAAGGTTCTACAAAAATCGACGACTAATCATTCTCTTATCTATCACTTAAGTACTATCACTTTCTTATCCGACTTGTCTACTTTCCGGAATTCTTTCACTCTTCTCGGAGTGGTTTGGATATTATTCATTTTGTTGAATAAATTTGGACATGCACTCATTTTGCTAGCCGAAAATTCATTGTTACTATTTCATGAGCTAAATTGCGACAAGTCAAAATTAAATCATATATAGCTAAAATCAACAAATTTGAAGGGAATAAAAACATTGCATAAGAATAATCTTCAATTTGATTTGCTTAAATTTTCTTAATAAAATTTATATATACTTTATTGGAGCATTAGCAGTCTGATCAAATAATGTAGCTTAGTCTAGAATTTAGAGAAAATCTAACAAACATAAACGGTTAAATTAACAAACTAAATATCGTGAACTTACTACTAAAATCTTAAAATGTATGCACAAACAATTCGCCTCCATTACTATACAAATTTCTTGATTTCTGACCTTAAATAGTTGACGATAACATAATAGCAAGAAAAAGATCCATATGTTTACTTTAAAGGAAATATCTTTAAGTTTTATTTATAATTTTTTTTTCATGTTTTTAATATAGATTTTACTAGTTTTCTTGATAACACTGTTTCAAATTATCAGTAACATTTGTTGTTGGTCTTATGTGAATGCTAATATTATTAAAAAATGATATCAAAAACATCATCTTTTCATGCTATCCTTCCCATGTTTTACCAAGACAATCTATATCGAATTTTATAAGCCTCGAACTTCACCTGTATGGTATTTGTTGAAAAACAATCTTATAAGACTTGATGTTCTTTTCACATCAGTTAGCTCTAATCGACTTTTTAGGGGAATGAAAGCAGCAATTGTCAGTTATAAACTTACAATATAATACCACTTTAATCATTAATCTTTTTTACGATCTTTAAATTCATTTTTTCCCAAATCAAGTTTTTATTTAAGCTTACAACATATACTTTTTATTGATAACACATTTCTTCTTCAACTGTCTTTAATTACCTTTTCCTGTCTCAGGATATATAAAAAAAAAAAACAGTAATGTAAGGTGGATAACCGATTAAACAAACAGTATACTTTCTAGTACTTTTGTTTCGTTTTTATTGGAATTTTGATCCACATCAAATAGTATCATAACAAACGTAGAAGTTTATTACACATCTATCGAATCAAAGTTCAAACCAAAAAATGTATGTTTACAATAATAAAGCAAACATAGTTAAATCTTTTCTGCAATTGTTCATTTTACTTTTCTTCTCCGAAAAGCGCTCCTAAAATTCATTAATAGCTATATTCATTCTTTATTCAGCTGCTTTCTCATAAATATTAATTGTGGGTACATTTTTTTTCTTTTGAGAAGTGACGATTACATTGTTATTATATAAATTTCACATACGAATATATATACATAAAATATAAAAAAAAATATACATAAAATATATATTTATTTTATAATATATGTTATATATATATATGCACTTAAGTTTGCAAGTTCATTAAATTCCTAAATGAGTAGTTCAGTCCAATTAATAATATCTTCTACTCCAAAAAATTCAGTAATTCATTTTCGGTCACGCGGTAATTCATCATTCATTGATAATTTTTCATCCCCAATAAAGGTTATCTCCACTTAACTTTTTTTTAGCAATGCAAAGCACTTTTTGATTAACGAAATAAATTTCACTTCATTTTTAACACAGCTGAAAAATGAAATGAATTCCTTTAAGGAATTGACCTATTCCTTGCAACAATTGCTACCTCTTACAAGTTATTGTTATCGGATAAAGCTCAGCTGTTTCACTTACAGCAATTCATTAGTTAAAAAATTTTGATCATGATAAGTGATTATCAAAAAATGAATAATTGTTTGTCATAATCTTTGCTTTCAATTTTCTGGATTAGTTTGGAGATAGAGATAGAAACAAATGAAAATATGAAACAAATTATACTTTGTTCCCGTGAAAAATATTGAGTGATGGAGTAATGAGGAGTAAATTTGTGATTCAAATTTTACAGTACAAAAACATTTATTGATTGTATTGCGGAATTGGTTGATTCATTTTATTCTCGGCAACATTATCACCAAATAACAACCAAAACAATCAATGGCCACAATTGCACCTAAGGTAAAAATTAATTGCATAATTGTGGATAACTTAATACAACAAAATATAATACTTGTATATATTGTATATAATTTTGAACTATAAAATTAGATTTGTTAATTCATGCTTTATAAAATTGTTATTTGCCATATGATGTGAATTGTGCAAAAATAATTTCAACAAATTTTCAATTTCATCGTTGAGATTACTAAGATTATCAAGAAAAAACTAAAAAAGCAATACAAAAAATTTACATGACAAAATATATTGCTATGTTGTTCACACATTTCATCATATCCATTTAAAAAAAAAGTAAAGTTTTTAGAATTTATTTATCAGTTGAATAGAATAAAAAACTATATATTCAGTATTAATCTTGCATACTCCAGTCATCACAGAAATAGCTTACTTTTGATTTTAGAACTGATTTAGTAATTTATTCAAAAATGTTATTGTGTTAAGAATGATAATGAAAATATTCCCTGCTAGATTGGCGCAGAAATTTGGAATTATCAGTTTTAAATATTATGCTTGAAAAATTTACGGAACAATAATAGTAATTAACATTTTTGCCAACCAGAAATAAGTTTGCTTATTTCTGAAGCTAGCAAATAAATTCGTGTTTCAAGACTAGGTGAATTCTTAAAATACATTTTTGCATCCTAATTAACTTTAAATGCTAAGAAAACGTGTGTGGTTGACGTTTGCTTCGTTAGCAGTTCATCACCTATTTGTAATTTCAATGATCTCAATTCCTAAGTCAACTACATATATTGAAAATTAATCCTGTTGCTTTATGATAATTATTACACTCAAATAAAAAATACAACTCAATTCTTTTTTTATTTAACATTAAACTTAAAAATCATATTTGAGTTAAGAATAATTCATTAGCAAAAAAGTAAGGAATAAAAAACTGGCGTTAGAAAAAAATATAGTACATCTAAAGTAATCAATAATATATTGAAAAAACTAAATAATATATTTAAAAAACACATAACATATTGAAAAATATATTCATAGTAATACAAAGTAGCAAAAATCACATTTTTTTTTTTCATCTGAAGCTAATAGCATATTACCAATGATTTGTTAATTATTCATTGTTAGTCATCAACGATAGCTAAGTGGATACTTTCAGGAGAAAAGTCCAGACGTTCCAGTTTATGAATTCAAGGAAGATATTTCAGTAAATGTAGTAGAAAGAAATGTAAAAATACGAAAGTCCACACTATTCGCATGGGGAATCATAGTACCACTTCTCATCGTTGCTGTCATCATATTCGGCAGCTTATACCTGATCGCAAGAGCAAAACTTCAGAAATACAATGATACTGTCCAGCCACCTGGTCATTACGATTTAAGTGTATGCAAAAGGAAGTAAGTCATTTGAACGCAATAATCGCAATAATAAATTAGTACTGTCTTAAATGATTATCATTTAACGAATAATTTCCCTTAGATATCCTCTTCTGATGCCAACAATAATATTTAGAAAATCAACTATTCGACAGCTGATTTTTGCCGGTAATAGCTTATTGATAAAGTATTTATTTCTTTTATTTTACAGGTTCGATGTACCTCCATTATTCATCCTTAGTTTCGACGGTTTCCGAAATAGCTATTTGGAGCACAATATTACACCATCAATTCAACGTTTGATAAACTATGGCACCCACAGCAAATATATGTTACCAACATTTCCTTCTAAGACTTTTCCCAACCATTACACCATAGCAACCGGACTTTACCCAGCTTGGCATGGAATCGTAGATAACGCTTTTTACGACACACAATTTAAAGTAATATCATTTATTCAACCCTTTTTTAAGCCAATATATGTTATCACATTTTGAAAGTAATATTTAAATGCTCATCGAAAATTTAATTATTAATTAAAAGTAATTAGTGATTCCTTGAGGATAGATTTCTCATTTATTTCTTGCCTTATGAGTGTAATCAATTTACTGTACTGCATGTGACTTGTCAAAGTAAGAGCAGAAATGTATCTACATTTCTCACATACTACCATTGAACTATTCTTTAAATTTCAGGATTTTTTCAAAAAAAGTACTAATCAGTCTGGCTGGTACCTTGGAGAACCGGTAAAACTTTTCTTCAACTTATTCGCTTAAAGTTTTAAAATCTATCAATACTTCCCTAGATTTTTTCACAACATACTCCTCACTAAATCTAACTACCGGCCGTACGCTGACCTTAAAATTGAAATCTTACTCTGACGTAACAAAATATTTGAATCACAGTGACGAAGCATTATGACAAACTTCTTTTCCCATTTTCTTCTCATCTTTATAAGTCATTAACTAACTTCAAATGAAATTTAGATATGGGAAACAGCGCAAAAAGCTGGTCTCAAATCAGCGGTATTTTTCTGGCCTGGAAGTGAAGGAATTGGTAAGAGATACACGTTTCGTATCAATTATAAATGATGAAATTCCACAACTTCCTTTCATTATTCAGCGATTGATCACAGAAATTTATAATAAACAATATAGCCGAATGTTTTGCAATTAGAGTCTTTTTGATTACTCATTTTTATGGTAAGTAGGAAACTTTCGCAAGAAATTGTCTCAATTCACATATTTAACCCATCTACAAACTACACCGTCGTCTTAAACATGGCTCGTCACCAAGACATCAATTCAAGTTAGCTGTGCACTATTCGTTGTCATTATTTTTGTTTTCTTTCCTGAAATTTCATGAAAAGGAACTGTTCCAGGGAAATTACCTAACTTCTGGATGAAATACAACAGTTCTGTACCATTTACATATCGGATTGATACAGTGAGTAATGATTTAAATGACATTCATTTGAGTCCCTTTTTCCTTTGATTTTATTTTCAAAGACAATTTGTAGATACCATTCAACTTTTAACCATCATAATTCACATATCAGTTGTTTTCAGTTACGTGTCACTTTTTTTTTGTTTTGCTAATTGGATGAAATGGAATTTCCTTTACGCTATTTTACTGAATGCCATTTCTTTGAACACATGTTATTTGTAATCCTATAAACTAATTAATAAAATAAAAGGAATTGTTTCAAAGCTGTTTTGAAGAAAAACAAGAATACATGAATCGCTAAATAATTTTCGTATTGTGGGCATTAGCTTCTAGCAATGTTGGATGAAATGGAATCTTGAATTTTCAGCTAATCAAATGGCTGAAGCTTCCGGATGGTGAACGGCCATCACTTATCCAAGCATATTTCGAAGAGCCTGATTATGCCGGACATATGGGTGGACCGGATTCTCAAACGGTAACATTCTACATATATTATTTACCAACAATGTAATTAAATTTGCTGTTTTCAATTAAAATAATATACGACCAATGTAATTTTTTATTCAGCTAATTTGAACACAAATTTCAATGTGTATCACTAATTCTAATGGTATGAGAAATTTTTATGGAATGGAATTAGGCCTATTTTATTAAACCAAATTAGATTTAAATTTCAGCTAAGAAATTTTCATATTAAGGTTCGCACAGCAATGATATTAATGGATGGAATGATTAACTATTTAATAAGTCGACTGACTGAAGAAGGTCTTATGGGTTGCATTAATTTCATTTTGCTTTCCGATCACGGTTCGTCCCTTTACATTTGTTTAAAACTTGAAGCTTTTAATATTATTTTTCAGTGAAGATAAAAATAAAGTAATCACTTATTTACTTTAATCTGTCCTCTTTAGCTGATACTCTCTGTGACATCGTAGAAAAGATAAATTTCATCAAAGTTTCCTTCTTGGACAGTATCTTGCAGTCAAGTAGTTATAATGAAACAAATGGTTTTTTTATTTTTTTCTAATCTAGTAAAGAAGTGGTTCATTTTGTGATCTCATGTAAATACTTTAGTATGAAATAATTTACTATACCAGTATTATTCAATATTTTGGCTTTTATCAGGCATGCAGCAAATGGACAAAAAGAAATCTGTGGTTACTATGAATTACTTAGGACCACAATTCAATGACATGTTTTTTTCTGGTGTGGTAGCTCGAGTAGAAATCAACGAAAGCGCCCATTCCTCTCAAAAAGGCAATGTTACTATTCTTTATGATCACATCAATATTTTTTTGGATGAATATTCTTATCTCTTATGATTTTCCAGATGCAGATAATATTATCAATGATATGATTTCGAAGCTAGAATGTCAGCATGGAAATAATTACATAGCATACAGAAAGGATTTGGTACCGATAAGATTTCATTATGCCGGTTCGCCAAGAATAGGCGATATTGTCATTAAAGGACGTCCAGGAGTGTGCATTTTTAAGTATGCGTTTTTTCAGTGAGATATTCTCAAAATAATCGAACTTTTCGGCTATAGTTCGCATCCTATTTTTTATCATGACTAGACACTGAATATGTATGTTCTTATGTGGATTTTTACAATAGCAATTCTTTTGTAACGCTTACAATAGCAATCGTTAAGTCACTTCACATAATGTGTTATCTGATTAAATTAGTTCAGAATAAGCCTAACCGCCTCACTACTTTTGATTATAAAACTTTTTAAAACGTACGGAATATTAATTAAATGTTCAGAAAGACAGGAAAACTTTTCCCATGTTTAGAACAGATGAGGAGAAAGAATCGTATAAACTTCTCGGTGACCATGGCTATGATAATAGAATTATCAGCATGCGGGCTATTTTCATTGCCGTCGGTCCTGATATTGCGCAAAATCGGGAGATCAGTGCTTTTCAGAATACTGAGCTTTATAATCTATTCGCACGTGAGTTCCTATTTTAAAAGCTAAAATGAATTTAGGTGGAAGAAATGAGTCAGTTATAACTGTATTTTGAATCCGGGATCATAAATTACAGCATGCGATAGAAGAACGTGTAATTATTTAGTATTTTGGTAGAGAAATTTTAACTCTCAATATTCTGACGTTTCTTTAAGTTATGGGAAACAAACCTTTACAATCATTCTTTTAATAAAGATTTATTACGAATTGATGCGGCACCAAATAATGGAACGAACGGTATTTTATTCCCTGTCCTCCGCAATCCGCCAGCTTTACCGATAACGACTATTGATCAGCCATCAGATCAATGCACTGAAAAGATAAATATGAAATTGTGTAATTTCTCACATAACTGCCAGGTAATTCCTTTGTATTATTTATGAAAATTCTCAAAAAACCGAACGACTTAAAGTTGATACAATGTTTTTAACCCAATATATAATCACAGTTATCAATTGAATTAAACCCACTGACCGTTGTTATACTTCCTTTTGCACTTGTCTTTTTTTTTTTGCTGTTTATGAATGACATATGATGTATTGAATTAGGATCAGTAATATATTCTTTCAGTCATTCAATTTTCTAACGTTTTCATATCATTCAGTTAATGGATAACATTTACCAAAATTGTTCGGTGATATTTCACAGTTCTGTCAGTGCTAGTTATCATTTTACGGGTGATCTCTGCAGTTTACAACTTTGCGACGCCATTATACATTTTGATAAGAAGTTGAGAAAAACAATTATGGTGGAAGGTATCATGAAGAACACTATTTGGACGGAAGAGATAAAGTGAGCTTTTATATGATAAAAAACTTATCATTATGAAAAGAACCAGTGGTAATTTCGATTAACGAAGTATTTAACAACATTCCTCAAGTTAAAATAAACATTTGTTTTAGGGAGAATTGTGTGACTTATATTGATAATGTTACACAAACTAATTCATGTGAAATTTCAAAGGATGACAGTTACTCATTAATTTCGCTATTTGGAAGGCTTGGTAACATATCTTTCTGTTGCTTATGAAACAACTTATAGCGATATACAAAATATCTCAAAGACTAAATATTTAAAAAGACTCGATTAAGACCATTTGGTCGGAACGGATGATAACCTAACTATTAGAATAAATTAGCATACTATGAATTAATGGTTCATAGTGTAAACAAATCAATAACAGATTTAGACAATCCATAATAGATCTAAGAATTCCCAAATGTTAAATGATTCTGATCACCAATATAATAATTTACTATTTTACCTGTTTATCGACCATAGATGTTGTTTCAGATAGCTATTATACGTTTGATCTTACTCGATTGGTTGTGCCAAAAGTTTTTGTTGATGGTTAGTTATCGAAAATGGACATAAATTATATTTGTCTCGTAATATCTTTGATGGAACGCTAAATGATTTTAAAATATGCTACAGATTATGCTAAATTGTAAATTAGAGAAGTTTTCAGGAATATGGCAATATGTCTTAAATGAAACAGCTGAATACCTAGTCAAATACGGTAACTTACGATTCTTCTCTGGTGCAATATATGATCAAGATGGAGATGGGGTACGAGACAGTGATGAAGTTATCAGGTAACCACTGTATTGCATGATATGATCCACCCCGCTTACTCTAACTATAGAAAATTTTACACTTTTCCCAGTATACAAACATATTTGATTACATGACACTATCATTCTTACTTCTGTTTTGCTATTACAGGAAAAGTGACCCATCACATTTATTTTTTGTACTTATGTGGTGCAAGAATCGCGCACTTATCGGTCATAATTTATGCAAGGATACTGTCTTCGTCCCTTATATATTACCATTTAAAGGGAAAAATTTGAACTGCTTGGTAAGATAACTTTGCATAGAAAAGACCGCACAGTTATAGTTAGAATATGTAATGTCTTCAAATGAAGTAAAACCCACCAAAGAATGACTTAATTGATAATTGGAAGAGAACGAATAGTTCCAATTACTCTGATCTTTCGAATGAAAATTGTAATTATAGGAAATGCTTTGAATACATGCAGATGTATAGCTTATGTTGAATCACAAGTATATTCATCATTAAATTAATAATAACTGATCGATGTATTTTCACTGCAGTAGAATATGTTGTTCCTCTTCGAATTTTCAGTAATTTCACTGTGAATCATTTTTTACAGAAACCTACGGAATATCTCTATGACAATACAGTTCGAATGCGTGATATCGAACTACTAACAGGAATGGAGTTTTTCACTGACCGAAGCATCTGGTCGAATGAGGAAGCAATCCAACTACGAACTTCGTTGCCGGAAAGAAAACGGCCGTCATGATAACACGTAACATTAATTAGTAGTACTTTGTCTAATTTCTTTTTACTGTTGAAGTTAATAACTGTTGAAGATTTGTTGGAAATGATTGTGAAATGGTGAAGCATGAATTGTTTAATTACTGTATTGTTAATTCCTCTCATCTAAGATTCTTAAATTTTGATCTTATTATGCCTTGCTTTTAGATTAATTAGATACAACTTGCATTTCTGTTAGATCGCATCAGACTAAAAATTTTAAGTACTTTAATTCCAAGATTTGCATAAGCTTATTTTAGGAAATTTAATGATACTGCTATTCTTAGTCTTTACGTACTAGCATACTGTTAATTTACAATTAACTTACATTAAAAATTTACACAATAATTCACCACATTCTTAACTGCTTACTCCTTTATCGTAATTTAATTTTAATAAGCTAAAATGAATTACGAAATAAATAAAACTAATTAAGGGAGTGCTACTAATATACTAACAGCAAGTAGAAAGCATATACTTAACTTATTAACTTCGTTCTTTTTTTCATTTCCCATTTTCTTCTCTTTTTTGTTTAATAAAAATTGAAAAAAGAACAAGCAACAAAGAAAGTTTTGCCAATTGACAAATTGAAAAAGTCTTAAGAAAAGCACTTCTCAACGAAACACTTTTCTTATTAGTTTCAAAACTTTACTCAGGTCATCTACGCACAATCTACACTTACTAAAACCAACACGAAGGAAATAAACCATACAACAGCAATAACAAGAGTTTAAAAAATTCCAAAAAGATAAAGAAAATTAAAAGAACCATAATAAAAACGAGACATAAAATAATTCTTACTAACAAAAGAAAAGAAAATGAAGTACTTTACCTTAGAAAGATGAATTTCGGTAATATCACTGAACTTCAGCAATTACACATTCCAAAACATAAAAAAGGGTCGTTAATGAGTAAAACAGACATATACAAGCTTAAATATCAATCGAATAATTCATTTCTCTAATAAATGTTGATTTAAGTTTGTTATAAAATTAAACAAACTTCAACGTTATGGCCTAAAATAAGTCAGATGTTCTCTAATTAGGATGAACTCTAATTAGGATAGCGGTAATAACAGAAACTTTTAAAACACAATTACAGAGGAATTAACGGATCAAATGGAAAGATCTATGTTACTCTTTAGCTAAATGATCTGAAATTAATTTGATAATTTATGAAAAATGCTAGATTTTAGGAATGATAGCAAGTGGAATTATAGTATTCCTAGCATAATTCAAATATTAGCATTTGAAAACAGATTCAACAGAAACTCAATCTTTCTTGATTATATCAGGTGATCAAAGCAATCCTTAAATCTAACCTTCGCGGCCTGACAATCTGACAACTTTTTCTTTTCTCTTTTTTCCTTACTTATTTTCTTTCTTTTCCACTACTTCTTTTCTTTCACTCTTTCCTCCCTCTTTTCTTCTTTCCATTTAATATTTACACTTTCTACTCTCTTCTCTTTTTCGTTATTTCTCCCATTTCTTCTCTTCTCACTTGTCATAGCAGGAAACAAAAACAGCATAATTTCTTTGCACTGTGTAGTGCTGGAGTGTTACCTGAAAATGTTAACGGTGTTGACCGGAAAAGTATTTTCAGTTTTCCCATTTTTTAAGATTCAATTTCTGAAGCAAGTGGAAATAATTTACAAATATCTGTTGGAAACTGCGAATATTTGTAAATAGAATTCATTAAGATTTGTCTATCATTATCAATCAGTCTTGAGAAACGAATTCAGTCCATTTTGATGATACGAAGTCCTAATTGCATATTCAACTTTGAACTTTGAACTGGGAGTTTAATTTATTTTGTCTTAAGTGAGTTTAATTCAAGTACATTTGCATTAAGCGAAGACTACTTTGTTTTTTTCAAGTATTTAAGTTGCAATTAATAATTTATTATCCATGTGGCAGTGATAGGACTTACCGAAATCCCTGACAATGAGCTTAATGGTGGCCGAGTTTTTTATTTTTTCTGGAATTTTTTACTACGATATAAAAGTAATGTAAATATCAGTTACAAAGGAATAACTTCCACTTCTCATTTGCAGTTACAAAAAAATAACTTTTATGATTCTAAATTTCTATCAATGTGAATGCTTTCATTCAAGCAGAAACTATTTTCCTTCTATTTTCATATTAAAATTGCTTACTTTAAATGCATCTGTTCTTCTAAACATTTTTCAAGTATTGCAAAATGTCAACAAACTTCATCCAGTGCCATAAATTTTTTTTTTTTTTAAAAAATATTGTACATTATAAATTGTTCAATTTACATTCTACACACACATCATATTCTGAAAGTTTATTTGTTTAACACAGAGTAGCAGAACATTTCCTAAAGTGCTTCTTTCTTCGTTCAAATTGATGGATGAATCCTTTATCAGTTGAATCCTTTATCAGTTGTTCTCTATCAGTTGATATATTCTCAGTTTTGTCAATTTGAGAGATCGAAAAATTTTTTTACTCTATTTGTGGACAATCATCAATGTGTACACTTATTAAATTCTTTTATTCAGTAATTAATTATCTCATTGCTCTTTCTCATTTAATTTTCAATTTCATGACTTTGAATTTCGATCACATGCCACGCTTTAATTCAATTAAATACTATTCTCCTGGTATCTAATTAAAAATTCGTATATTTTTATTTCTCTTTGATTTAAGATAAAAGTAAATGAAACAAATCCATGGGAAAAAAATCCATGAATAAATGAAAACTCCTCAAATTCGCAACTTTTCTGAGGATATAAACAGTAACGCTATCTGATATTTTTTTCTTATACTTCAAAATAAAGATTCTTGCTGCTTATATGTTTGATGACAAATAAAATGGAAATTAAATCAAACCAATCATTTTTTTTATTAGCATTACATCGCATTAATGACACTTCATCAAAAATAGCGATGAATCAATTTTTTCGATCATACCAACCTTGGTGGCTCAAAAAAATAAACGTTAATTTAAAATACCGACTAAAAATTTATCTTCAATGCCACTTAACGCGATGAGTATTTTTAGTTGGCGAGTGCACAAGAGGTTGAGTATCTATTTAAACAGTATTGCGAAACATCACTAAGACTAAGAAGCACTCAGAACGTCACGCTGTTCCTGAGCCATGATCAGACTAATAAATCAAATGAGATGTTTTAAAATTGACGGTTTTAAATCTCTTCTTCTAACCGATGAAAGAACAAAAGCAAATTGTCCGGTGGAAGACAATGATTGGATATCCTTTTCCGGAGCATTCTTTCCTTAGTTTGCTTACCTTAGTTCATGACTGATCTTCAGACTGCGTCAGTGATGTGACTCAGAAGAGTATGTCTATGAATGCTACCTAATTATCCTTCAAATTATACATAATCTAAAGACTACTCAGTTAATATTGCATTTTTCATTTGCTTTTTTCTTCGTTAGTCTTTATTTTCAGATTTTTTATCGTTTTTTTCGCAATTAAAACTTTGTGATAAAATTTAAGAAATTGAAGTTACTTAATTTTTGCATACTAATATATCTTCAGACATCCCGATAAACTGTCAATAAGACGTATTATATTTGATTTCATTCATAAGATTTTTATTTGTATTTCTGCAAAGTTCTGTTTGATTTAATTCCCAAAGTAAATTAAATAGAACACCGAAAGTAACGAATTGCTTCTATTCAATTAATTTGGTATCATAAAATTTATTTGATCATTTTGAGAAACAAAAATCGTTAGCTGATCAGCAATAAGTGAAATCAAACTTATTTCGAAATTAAATTACCTTCAGCTGTTGTTTATTTCTCTTAAATTTTCATATTATCTCAATATTCGCAATAGATATAATATCCACTCTCTCTAAGTATGAAATACTACTATCAAATTGATCAAAGCATTTGGAACTTACGAACGAATTTTCCGAATTGTTCTAAGTTTTTAAGCAGCCGAGGAAGCAAACAAACGAATCAAAAATGAAATTTAAAAAATAAGGCATAAATTTTGAAAGCGATTAATTACAGTTTATTACGAAATTCATCATGATCTCTGATGAATTTGTCATAAAAATCTGAAAAGACCTTTGATGAATCATTAAATGCTCATAGCAAGTTGCCTCTGCACACTCTCCTTCCCCAATATAGTTAATATTAAGTAAGGAAATCTTTCATCCTTGAAAAGTTTTTAATGAACTTTAAAATGCTGTAGAAATTAAGAAGTTTCTAGTGGGACATTGAAAAGCTCAGAAAAAAGTATTTAATTTTGCCACTTGAAGCAATTAAGTTTCGACAACCGAATAAAAATATATCGGGGGTTAAAGGTTGCTTTAGAAAAGCGCAAAATATTGGTTAGAAAGTATTTCAGTAAATAAAAAAGCAGAGTTAAAAAAGGGAAAGTTATTTCAACAAATGAATAAGTAAACAACATGCAAATCAACCTCGATTTAAAACAAATAAAAAAATCACTTAATTATTGCTTATTTGCCTGAACAAAAAATATAGTTTGATATTTGGTTCAGCTGAAAATACTTATTTTCAGAATTTTTCTAGGACATCATGCAATAGATGAATTTATGCATATTTCTAGTTAGGTAGCTTTGGTGAATTGGTCTAAGATTTTTGAGAACAATAAAAAGGATGTCCAGTAAATCTTATAAATTCATTACTTACACTGATAAGCATCAACAGAAAATTACTACATCTTCATCCATTTATCAGGTAGTTTACCTTTGCATTCCCGAAGACGCTCTATGAGAAGATTGGGTGAAAGCTGTTGCTTACATATTTGATGTACCGCAATCAATAACGGAAATCTTGATATCAAATTGTGTTTCTTCAGCATCATAAAGATCGCTTCAGCAGTTGCTGGACCCTGAATACTTTGTCCATTCAGCATTTCTCGTTCCAGATCTTGGATCGATTTTTTGGTTTTAACAAATGCTTCACATATTTTGCGATTACGGCCACAGTTGCATATTGCTGTGGTTATGCGCAACTTTCGAAGTATGTTTGAATATTTAATTCGTGATGAAATAGCTCGACAAATACAATAATCGTATAATAGCCGCTTTTGTATTACTTCCATATCCCAAACCATCAGCAAAATCGGTAGCGCATGCTACTATATTTTTTAAGACACCACATAACTCGATAGCATTCGAATCTTTAGTCAAATTAATTCGATTCTTTCAAACAATTTTTTTAGTACCTGCCACTTTCTTTTTGACCTCTATAGCCAATCGTTGCCTCAGAGAATTCATTATTTCTAGTTCCTCAGCCATATTTGCGCCCATTAGTACTGCTGTACTCAGCAGTTCTCGAATTCTTTCAGACACTAAACGAATTACACTTTCTTTCTTATCTATCAGAAAACCTTTAATAAATGAAATCGCCAAAGCGCCCTTTTTCAAATGGCCTTTTAACTAATGTAAACATTTTCTTTAAACTGTTGTGGTATCACAAAGATTAGTATATCGCCGTCCGTGCAAGCTGTCAATAAGTCTGCAATAGCTATCATATTCGATGATAATTTTTTGCCTGGCAGGTATTTAACATTTTCATGCTGCGTATTAATAATTTCAGTAAGTTTCTTCCCATTTACTATCTCTTCATGAATCAACATGCGGACTTCTGGGTCGAAATCATTGTTGTGTTTTCCGGCAATTGTTGTATCCCAATTACCTGAACCCACAAGTGGTATTTTGGCCGGTGCTTTATGTTTCATTACAATGAAAGGCACGAATAATTCAAGTGACGTTGAAAACAAAATGCTTAATGAACCACAAATCAGTTTGCCAAATATCATAAATAAATCGACTTGCGAAAATTTTTTTTATTTGTAATGTTTAAAAATACAGCAGTAAAATTTTCCTAAATAAATGAATTTTAAGAAATTGGACAAATGGCTGTAATTGAGAAGTGCTTTTTGTCATTTTATGTGAAAAAGCCAAACTAAGGAACTGTCAAGCATAAGGTTATTTCAGCGTCCCCCTGAAATAGCATTTATATTTGAATTTTTGATCATCTTATTTTGTCTATCTTCTTTTCATTTCTAATAAACTTAACTATTTAATATTAAAGTGATCAAGTTGTTGTTGTAAATAGTCTATGCGGACATCTAGCTGATACAAAAATGTATGGTAATATTTTTCACCTTTCCACCTTTCTTTTTCTCGCGCAAAGCTTCTATTTTTTATATATAAATTTAAACTGAGAAGCCCCTGATTAAATTTTACTCTTCTCTTTAATGTAATCTTTAGTCTTTTTCTTTTATGCATCTCCTTTCATTTCTTCCTATAAAATTAATGGAATTAAATCTTTTACGAATTACATAACAGATTGAAGTCGACCCTGAAATGATTACTTTGTTCAGTGACTTCAGTGATAAGAATGAGCAGTGCAGTAGTTTGTGTTTTGGGCTAAAGAGAGAAATATCTGCTACTTGAAATTCTTTCACTTGTAATATTATTTATTTGACATATTTAGTCAACTTAAATCATTTTGGCTGCTCCTCAGAAATGGATAATGATCGAAATGCAACTCACTGAGAAAAATTTTTTCGGCGTATGTGAGCTTCCCTACAAATTTCACTTTATAATGATTATGTTTATTAATTCAAAACTCAGTAATTCATTAAAATTCATTAAAGACTGATTAACTCTGAAGGAATTGTCTTAAACGTTTTTAAATACTTTCAACTTAATTTTCACACAATGTCATTTGCAGCAGTTTGCACAAATATTACTTATTTGATGTGATCTTCAGTCTTAGCTAAATGTGTTGCAAGTCAGGCATATTCAATCTGCCATCATCACTTTATTCATGTGTGCTTGTCGCTTTGGTCATGATGCTGTTAATCAGACTGGCAGTGTTTGAAATTAGAGCTGATAAAATGCATCGATTAGCAAAAAATGACAATTGCACTTTTCACATCATTTTACTTTACGATTATAATATCAATCTCATCGTAAGACTACTTTCCTTGAAACATACTTTCCCAAATATAAAGAAATGATAACCTAGAAAATTTCACATCTACCGGATATTTAGCACATTTAAACAAAAAGATAACAAAAAACATCGGAGCAAAGGAAATGAAACTTTTAAGAGTCTCAATAAAAATCGAGCAAGAAACTGCATGATAAAACCTGAAAAAATCTCGTTGTTGCTAACGCATTTATTATTGTCCCACAAACATGCAGGACGTTCCAAAATTTTACTTCAAGCCACAGTAGCCTAAACTCTGGGCCGGTTGCAAAAAACTATGACAAACCTTTTAAGATTATATCAGATTCTTTGGAGTCAGACAAAATTTGCAATGTGATGTGATAAAAAGATTACTGAGGTATAAGGAATGTTTCAATCTAACTGAATGTAACAAATAATGTCAACACTGACAAGAAAACACGTTTGAAAATTGAACATGATAAATGCGCCCGTGATAAGTGCAGTGATAATAAAAAGTGATCAAATAGCTGCGTTGATAACGGCAGTAACAACAATATTATGATACGAGAATAATTTCTCCAACAGTACTGCTTCACAGCAAACAATTGTCCAGATGAAAGATGCTTTTAAAAGCTACGCAAATCAATTTTCTCGTACAATGATTGATTGAAAAAAAAAAATTTATGACATAAGTATGTTTATATGTCGTCAATATAACTGCGCTCATTATTTTTGATTAAAGATATACAAATACTGACGATAGTCTGTTGTTTGTTAATACATTGGAGTTTGTTGTAGAATGATAATGGTATGATTAAGTTCCTTCATTTTGTTTCTACTTCATATCGTAAGCTTAGTACTCAAATTATTGTTTCCAATAGATATTTGAAGTTAGACAAAAAAAAAAAAAAAATGAAAAACTTCACAATCGAATTCAAAAATGCTTCACATAATCGAATTGAAATAATTATTTCGTCTTTCATTATGTTTTTATTTAACAGTTTTTGATGCTAAATACTTTTTAGCTATTTCTAAATACTTTTTAAATTCCCGATATGTCAGACTAGTTTTTCGTCCAGATTACTAGTCTAACATTTCGGGAATCTAAAAATTAGGAATAGCTAAAAAAAAAAGTGTGACTATCTGAATTTTAATATTGGAAAAAACTGAATAAAACTGTTTATGCAAAAAATATTAATGATAAATGGGCAACTCACAGTCTTGTCAATAATGGGTCAAAATTTCATCTTTTTCAATCTTAAAAAAAGTGCTGAAATTGGAAAAGTTATCCTAAATGTCTAAAATTATTCTAATAATCATAAATATGATGTCACATGCATATATAATTTTAATGACAAAGTTTTTTCTGAAATTAAAAAACAACAGTGACAAATAAACAGCAAAGTACGTTAGCGGAAATTGCGCAATTTTTTCTTTTTTTTTTTGCGTATCCTGTATCCACAAACAATTGAAATGTCAATTGCTCATTTATAAAAAAAAAACGTTTGAAAATGAAAATGAATGGGAGCTAATTGCAATATAAGATAGGCGATGCTATGGTTTTACCGAGCTAAATTTCAAAATTTCTACCGAGTTTAACTACTTCATTCATGGCTTTAACTTTATTTTCATTTAATTTTCTTCAGTTTTTTCCATAAGAGTCAGAGTTTGAATTCTTTTTGGGTCTTTGATATTAAACATATTTTAATTTCGAGTTACTTTAGTCTTGCCTTCAGTTTATTTTGAAATTATATTCTGAAGTTTCTTGTTGATTCACTATATATAAAGTTTTGATTTTAATTTCAATTATAATTCTAACCTTTAAAGTTTTCCTTTAATCCTATTGGGCAATTTGACTTTCAAATACAAATATGATAAAAGATAAAAAATAACGCATAGTTTGTTCAGGAGAAAATTTTCAGAAAAACTTACAAAACTTGCAGCAATGTCATCATTTCGTTTGTCGACAATTTATTTCTGCAGGACTCTGCTGGGTACGCTGATTTGCTGCTATTTGTTGACAGATCATGTTACTGCCATTACCGATGATTCGAACATCGCTAAAATTCCTGCATATAGAGTAAGATGATTTGATCACTGATGAAACTAATAAGAATGAAGAAAAAAACAAAACTCATTCTGCCAAAAAGTCCCGACAGTCGAAAATAATAATGATATTGCTTTTTGTTTACTGATTTTTTGCAAGCGATCATTGGTGATCAAAGTCTTTAACTTTGTCACGTTGTGGACATGTAAGAACTGCATTATAGTTCAGGGGCCTTCCAATTTAGAAGATACCTTTAGCAATGCAGTTTAATTGATCAACGAAAAATTAAAGCATGAAGGATTCTTCTTTTAGACATTTCAAGAAACTGGTTATGGTTTGAATGAAGCATCGCATCTACGATCTTTAAGGTCGGCTCTTGGAATGGATAATATTGGTCAGATCACTGTAAGTCTTCCCGATCTTTGTACAAAAAATAGTACTTAAAATAATTGAAATGACAAATAAAAGGATCTGTTGCAGAAAGCACATATGAATAAAATTCCTTTAAAATTTCGAAATTCAACAAAAAAGTGAACACAAGAATCATAACTATATAACAAAACATTTTAGTATCCATTGACATCGCGTTCGGCAGCAATGATATCAGGTCGTGGATTCCGGCCTGGTAAGAGATACGATGCGGAAGTCATATCTTTTATGTAATCAGCACTAGGTTACAGTGCCCGGGAAAGATTTATTGATCAAATAGCATTGCATATTTTTGATAAAATGTTTCAAGACGCTACCACATATTCAAAAAGCACGTGACAACCTTGTTTTGTTGATCAAATATAATTATTTAAGTTTAAAACTTATATTAAGCCACCACTCCTGGCTATTATATCAATTGCTCATGAATGGCAAACGCAGTCCACGTTCACCGGAAGCATAATTTGACACATGACCCTTATTTTCTTAGTTAAGACATGTTTCGTCTGATTACTTTCAAGTCTGCGACTATACAAAACCACAATGAAAAACGAAACAATGTGAAGTAAAATTGCTTACTAAGTATTGAGTATTGGACAGGCATATCACATAACTTATCACTTTTTACCTTACATTAGTACCATCATAAACTTGCAAGTGACTGAAGAAAATGTCTATTAAGTTATGGGAATGACAGTTATATGTGACGTGATACTCTTCTCAAACAGCTCTTTCATCTCTCTGGTAATATAATCGATACACGAAACATACCAAATTATAGCAAATGATTGAATAAATTATAACAATATTTATAAATTCAGGCGAAGAATGTCGAAGGCAGAGAAATAACTTGTAGAGAGAAACGATTTAAGTGGGAGGAAAATCAAAAAGGTGAAGAATAAAATGAAATATAATTTATTTTAGGGGAGTTATCCATGATTTGAAACTGAAGTCATTTAGGATCTAGAACTTTATTCATTAAATCAGATCAGATAAGATTAGAGTAACTCTCAGAACGTCGAACTTCGATCGTTCTTCATTTCGAAATTCGAATTTGGGAGATAGCTTTTAGCGATTTCAAATGCAAACTGCCACATGTGAAATTGTGGGTGGTATCTTATCATCACTTAGCTTGTCTCTTTTTTGACAGCTAATGTGCGTCTCTATTCGTCACTTCTGTATGAGGCATTGCCAGTTGCATTAGACAAAAGACCACATTTTTAAGCTGAACTCTTCAGTGAGGAGTGATTAAAATGAAATGAGACAATATGAAGCGGAGAGAGAAAAGGGGGCGCAAAGGGGAAAGGTTGTGGTCTCGGTGGTATCAAAGTACTCAAAGATGGACCTTTCCACTACACTCCATTCACTTCACAATATTCTTTGACCATTTTATTTTATACATTCTGTCCCCGTGATGACATCGAAACAATGACTACACCGCGCCCATTTCCTCCTCTACCGTTTGCTTTTTGTCGTCAAACTTTGTAACTATTTTGCATAGAAAACTATCATTTTCATTACTTCTTCCTGGCAACATTTATATATTTTTTTTTGCCTATTGAGAATCTTCGAGATATTACCGCCAATCTTCGCCATCGAATTACTTCTGTCGGTTTCATTACAAATGAAAATCTATTTTTTTCTTAAATAACGTTTTCGAAACATTTTACTTACTTTCAAAAACCTTCTATGAAATTTTGAGGATAATAATTGCCTTCTTTTGCTGATATAATTATTAATATATTCTGCAATTGTGGAAAAGCAAGAGTGACCTTCCTAAAAATTTGGCTATAAACCGTTTTTTCTTTCCGACTTTTCGTTTATTTGAATTAATTTTTCTTTAACACTCGTCATTAACTACTCTTGATGCTTTCCTTCGGAATTATGCTTCTGCAGTATGCTGTGTTCCCATTGTATTTTTGAATGAATAATTGATCGATGAGAAAAGGAAACTGGAGGGCAGTTTGACAAAGGTCAACAGCTTAGTGGACAACGTGACCCATTAGAGATCCTTGCTCTTCACTTCTTGTTATGATCTATCGATTATTTATATTTAAGAAGTTTGTGCATTTTTTTTAGTCTAATTTCTGTTTATGACTTTCTAAACCTTTTTGTTTGATAATAATTTTACCTAATTATTAAATTCCAATAGTGTTTTGCGATTGTATGGAGTTTACATAAAATGATTTAAAAAATAAAATATGCGATAATGTATCCTTTTTGAAACTTTTCATCGTTAATCACAAAATAATTACTAAACTAAATTACTCATTATTTATTTCAAATACAAGATTCCAAAATGACAAGAAAATTTGGATGATTGTATAGTTTAAAACTGATGCCATTACTATAAACATCAAGTTTATATAACGATTTTTTTAATTCCATAACTTATTTCCTTTATTCTTCATGGTCCTCATATTTGCTGCAAATTTCAAAATAATCAGATGATTGCAATGAATTTTAAGTCTAACAGGTTGAAAATATCAGTGATCTAACGAATTAACGGAGTAAACAGATTTTCAACTGATTATCTTAATGGTTTAAATCTGCTTCAACAATTTAAAAGTTATTAATAATTCAGAAGTTAAATATTCAAACTATTTTTTAAAACTATACTTTTACTGGGAATATACTGAATCCTTGTTGTTAATAAGTTCGATTGGAAAGCTTATTTTTCATCATATTATATTTTACAAATTTTAAATAAAAGAATACATTTTCGAAATACATTTTCAGCTTAACATTTCCTCTTCAATTTCCTATTAATTATAACTTGTCCAGGTAGGTTGGATAAAAATTATAGAGAGAAGATCGAATTGCTTTTCGCTTTTAGAAACTAGCAGTTTCTTTAAAACTTAGTCGTATAGAAATAGTCTTCAGTTTTTTATCTATTTTTCTACTGTAGTTTTATTGTGGTGGTTTTTTTCATTTACTTATTGAAAAATAAAGTCATTTGCATTGAATAACTATTTATCTTAATGTGTTACTGTTTAGGAAAATCGCTGTTTAAATTTTATGATTTCTCCGAAGCAGTGAATTGAGAAATAATGTTTTGCCTTTTTTATTTTCTCATTGATTTTGTCAAATATTCATATTTTCTGAGCTATTTTCCTCTTTTATAATAGCAAGTGCTATTTTTGCACGACTCAGTTTTACTTCACAACAAAATTTTTAATTTAGTACCTGATTTAATTAGTCAGAAAATAATCATTGTTGTGTTAAAATTCTTAAGAATGGAAACAAAAACTACCCAAGTTTAATTTAAATTTTGATTTAGGTGCTGTGAAAATTTTAGATTATTTGAACAAAATGCTTGGCATTCCACTGATCTCAGAATATATTCATAAAGTAGTCAAACCACAGGTGGTTGCCGATAAAGTGGATTTCTTGAATTATTATGCAACATCATTATTACTAGCTTTGGTAGCATTGGCTATCTCAGCAAAACAGTATTTTGGTTCACCAATTCAGTGCTGGGTACCAATGGAATTTCGAGGTATTTTCGCTCTGCTTATTTGCTTGACTATAAATTTCGAAAAAAAGAAAGCTGAGAATTTCAGTTTTAAAAGTTCATTTTCAGGCGGTTGGGAAAAATATGCAGAGGATTACTGTTTTATTCAAAATTCATACTATATTCCATTTACGGAACAGATACCAGAAGAATTACATGAACGAAATGATCAGATCAGTTATTATCGGGTATTACATTTTCTTCAAGTACTTAAGTAATGAGGAGGAAATTAAACATTTTACTATGTTCGAAAATAATAAATTTTAGTTTGATTATTAGCGAATTAAATTATATAGCGGATACTTAAAGCGAAATAAATGTATAAATATTGTTGGATTTATTACATTTCAGTGGGTGCCGATAGTTCTGGCCTTACAAGCTTTAATGTTTTTTGCCCCTAACTATTTCTGGAATATTCTTTACAAAGAAACAGGTAATGTCCAAGAAACTTTTCTTTTTTTCTTACTTTTATATCAATTCCTTAGCATATTTCTTATTAGCTTTTCATCTTCGCTTATTTTTTTTGTTGAATTCAAGTTGTGCAGTTCATTTTTTCAGAATAGTTTTTAGAAAAAAGATAAGTTCAATAAAATTTTAATTTCCATGGAACATTGAGACAATTGCAGCGATGTCTAGTCACATCTTTTTACTATTTAATAATATATTAGGTGAAATCCTTATTTCATAGTTCGAAGTGAACTGAAGCATTCATTTCACGTATCAAGTGGTCTAAAGTACTCGTTCTATAATTATTAGGTCTAAAATTTCGATTGATCTTTAAAGACTAAAGTTTCATCATCCTGAAATCTCATCCATAATTCTTTAACAGCAATACAACCGCAAGGAATAGTAAAGGAAGCTAAGAAATGCTCTACTTTGCATGGTCACAATCGTGACGTAGAAATTCGAAATTTGGCAGAATATATCGGTGATACAGTATCACTTTTCAACTCTCAAGATGGCTTCAGAATGGTTAAATTTTTATAAAAAAATTTTCTTTTTGGCTGGAGAAATCCAAGTTTTTGTTTCTCTGATAATTTTTTCCGCTGTTTTCATTTTTTGAATATTCAGAAATTTAAATATGTGCATTTTAGGGATTTACTCGATCCGGTCGAAATGCTACAATGTTATATTTGCTAACGAAGCTTCTTTATGTTTTAAACATTATTGGTCAGATTTACATGCTGAATCATTTCTTCGGTGGTGATTATCTGCAGTGGGGTTTTCAAGTATCTGAGAGATTTCATTTCTATTTCTCTTTTTTTTTTATTACCACTGCTAATGTAAGATTTCTGGTCAGTAATAGGGTCTATGATTGAAATTCAGTTTTAACTTCAGTGGGATAATAATTAGTCTACCATTCATTAATAAAATGTAGAATTGTTATGAACCTCTGATTATTGAATGATAGCGTTCCTACTTCCTTGCAGGACTTCAATACTAACTTTAAAAGTATCACTTCCGTCGTTATTTTATCAATGATCGAAAATTAGACTAAAAGAAGGTTTTGCAGACAATAACGGATGTAGTATCCGGAAGGGAATGGATGGAATCAACAATATTCCCACGTGTTATCATGTGTGACTTCCAGGTTTAACTCTTTTAACTTTCTTTTAACTTTTAACTTAGTAATTCCATTTGGTTCTCATGAAATTTCAAAGGATATGCAAAACGTCTTGTCTAATTGCAAAAGCAAGATATGCATGAGAACCATTTCACTTTCACCTTTTCAGGTACGCCGACTGGGTAATATACAGCGTCATACGGTACAATGCGTCATCATGATGAATATGATTAATGAGAAGTTTTACTTATTTCTCTTGTTTTGGTTCATTTTCATAGGTATTTGCACGGTTATTAATTTCTTATACTATCTCTTCCTGTTGTGTATGTCAAGAGCGCGTGCGCAATTGGTATTGTGGAATATTAACAAGCGTGAATGGAAGGTGCGGATTTGTTATTTGCTTTTCGTTCCTTTTCATTTTCTGTTTTTTTATCTAACAAGCACTTGTTTGCTTACTACTTTATTGACTCAGGTTTATTTCATTTTCAAACAAATATTAACTTTTTGTATGAAAATTTGATTACTGCATCAGTTTATAGATATTAAAATAAATTTTGCTTATTTTCAGTTATCCGGATTCCATAACGATGATATGAAGCGTTTCGTAAACGATTTCCTTCGACCTGATGGTGTACTTCTGTTGAAATTTATCAGTGAGCATGTCGATGCCAGGATATCCCGGGATCTTGTTAACGAGTTAATTCGAATTTATTCAAAACAGGTCCATATTGTTTATTATTGAGACTTTCTTTTTGTAAGGAATATCCTTTTATAACAGATTTGGTCAGAAGTAATACTGAAATTATTTTACAATTAGAACTTTTCAAATTGAAAGTTCAATTTCATTTAAAATGGTATGGATTTCAACTTTTTTTGCAGCAAAATATATCCATAGAGAACGACAGCAAACAAACGTCGAGTGTATCTTCAGAAGAAAAGGCATTGATAACCAGCAGCAAAACAAGTAAAAAGTATTATGGAAATTTCGGGAAAAATATTAAGGTTTCAATTTTATCGTAATTCACCTTTTCTGATTCCTTAACAGTATTTTGTAAAAAATTTATTGTGTATTTCACATTCGATTTTTTCATGGACATTTTAGTGTTTTGAAAATTTTCTGAAGTTTTGGAAGATCCCATAAACTAGAAAAATATATAGACAAAAGTTTGAAAGATTTTTACACTCAAAAGAAGTTAACTTTTTTTCAGTCGCTTTACCCTTTAAAAGGCAATATACCAATACCAAGTCAAATGCAACATTCACCTTTATATGGAACTGGCTATGAAAGTGCTCCTGTTCTGGAAGACCTTGTCGACGGAACTCTACCTATTCGGGCAATGGCACGTGCTCGAGTTACACAGTCTCAGAATCATTCCACCGAAAATGTTTATGGCAGTCCTGGATCGCAACTGCGACAGAATACACCCACTGAAGTCTAAATTTATCAGTTGAATTGCTGACATGGTTCCATATTTTTTAATGAGACATTGATTTTGTTGATTTCTTCTTATCTCATTTTTTGAAGGGATCGGTGGATTGTTAAAAATTGGTTTTGTTTAATCAAATTCCTTAAATGTATTAATTAAAAAACATTTCCAAACAATCAAAAATTGGAAATATTACATTTGAAAGATCAAATGTATCGCTAAAATGTTGTTTGTTTGTGTTTTTCTAGCATTTTACTGAAAGACACTGTGGTGTTTTTTAACATTTTCTTTTCAACCAACATATGTTCCGCGGGAAAATAATAATATATTATTTTCTGAGTTAGAAATTACAAATGGCAAAAACATGTTAATAGCAAAAAAGTGTCATCTCAGTAGTTTAATAAATTACCAGCTCTAATTCATCTGTTGTTATCAAATCTCAATTTTCATCCTACAAATTTAGTTCAATTATATTATAATTTGCACCTATTTATTTGCAATTAACAAATGAAACTGAACTGTTTATGATATTAAAAAAAAACCACTTTTTGCCGAAAAATTCGAAAATTATATGTGCAATTGTGGGAATAATTCATACTACAGTGCTTCTGCATACCATTTTAAAATATTGTATATTTCCGGATGTATGAATATGGAATACTTTTTTCATCTGTTTATGTTGTAACATTAAACTTTTGATGGAATGAACAATATCAGAATTATTACTGCATTTTGGTGGGCATTTCAATATTGGACTATTTCAAATATCCGAATTTTATGCTGCCTACCAAGTTTTTTGATCCAAAAAGTTTTATTGATTTTTCAACAAGTTTTTCCGAAATGTTAAAGATTTGTTACAGTATTTTACAACTAATTGCTTGTCTCTTTGGCCGTGTTCGGTGTGTATGTTTGTTTCATCAGCAGAAATACTATTTTGTTTATCATACATATATTTATCTATTGCTGATCGATTTATTAAATACTGTCAAAAAGGCTCTTCTTAACTTTACAGACAACAGTGCTTTTTTAAAATTTGCAGACAGTGGTAGAAGCCGTGGTCATTCCCATCTTATCAAGCATTTCATTTTGCATGTTGTTGAATCATTATTCCGATGACATCATTTTGATTCATGATAAAAACTTGTGAAATGTTTCAGAACATCCACAGGAAGAGTATCACTATCAGATTTCTTCGCTATCACTGATTCACATGTTTACAAAAAAGCATTATTGTCCCGCAATTTTCTTTTGTGATTCTTCCGATAATGACTGGCTTCCTCCGCATTTTGGATCTGTAAAAAAGGCTCAGTTGATGGCTGAAATGCAATTACTAGTCATTTTAAATATTTTTAATATCAAATTTAAGTTTTTATACAGTTACCTTTAGCGAGAATAGTGCTATCGAGTTCTTCAACAATTTCCTCAAAAATCTTCTCTAAGTTATTATCGCCATCAACCTGAGAAAAAAATCAAATTTCTACTTAAAACCTTCAGTTCTTTTGTCAGAAAAATTAAACAAAAGTGGAGCGACAAAAACAACCATGCATTAATGTAGAATTTAAAGGTGGAGATTTGAACTCTTTTTTACTTTTTATGTATGTATGAATGAAGTTGAGACTTATTAGTGAATTGTTTAGACCAAGACATAGTAATAAGCTTAATAAAATACTCCTATGAACTAATTTATATTAAAAAGCTCCTCTTCAGAGTATTTTAAGTTAATATTAGGATAAAGTAAACTGTACTCCTACACATACCACTTTAAGCTTCCCTTTGTCATCAAAATACTTCAACATCGGTAGCGTATTTTGCTTAAACATCTGCAGTCGAGCATTTATTACTTCTGGATTGTCATCTGAAAAAAGAGCAATCAGAAAGTTTTTGATTATTTAATGAGATGATAACATGGCTGCAAACTTTAAACTATTTGAGGAGCCAAATCATTCAGTATTCATTACATCTTTTTTATACCTGTTCTAACTACTATCCCCTCTTTCTTGCGTTTCTTAATAGTTTCAATGCAAAAATCTTCAGTGCAGTCGATTAAAATCACCGAAACAAGTCGATCAATCTGAAATAAAATTGTCTCAATAATTTCTATTGGAATGCTTTTAATTACCTGAAACTGTTATCGAATCATTACTACCTGATTTTCAAAATCGATAGCTTGATTTTTTGTCCGTGGATAACCTTCTATAACATAACCGCTGCTAATATTATCCTCATCGTAAATTTTTGAGTAAAGCAATTCACGACAGATTTTCTGAAATAAATGGTATGAAAATGTTTCAACTAAGTTTATTAAAGAAAAAAAATTTAATGAAATTTCCGAGATAAAAACTAGTACAACAGTGAAACGAAGTAAACCTACCCTTGAAAATAAAACATAAAAAATTGCTACCGTAGGCACCGCTTCACCAGCATCCATTTTTTTCCCAATTCTTTGCCACAATTGATCATCCGCATTTGCTTGTACCTCTTTCCTAAGTAAATCACCCATACTAAGATACATGAAACCGTCGTATCGCACAGCTATACGCTTTGAAATTTCCGCTTTATTAGATCCTGGAGGTCCTGGAGCATGCTCGAATTGTTGTTTCATTTAAAATTTTGGTAAACTATTACTAGAGTGTAATTATAGACACTCGCTTTAAAATTAGAAACATCATTGTAAAACTGAAATCTTCCCAGCTACTGTTAAAAATTTCGAGCTTTCAGGTTTGAAATCGTATATAATTTTTCAAAACCACATATATTATGCTTCAGATTCTCTTAGTCTAAGCAAGTAATCCAACATAGTCCAATATTGTGCACATAAGAACAGGAGGCTTCGCTAAAAGCATGTTTGGTCAATAAAAAAAAAAAGAATTCTTCACAACTAGTGTTATCCATCCCAAGAGCACTGCTAGCACAGCACATATTTAATGAAAAAAGAATGGTATGCTCTAAGATGCTTAAATTTATTCAATGTCAACAAATATTCGGTCAAATAGAAAAATGAAAGAAAACAATCAAACATTTCAAGCACACGGTAAATAATTTATTAGTTTAGTACAATGTAATGTTATAAAAAGTGTCGAAACTTTGCTCACCAACAATAACGATGGCTGATGCGTTATTGGGTAGACCTGGCGGAAAACGATTATCCACTGCGGAAACGTTTGATTTTGAATCGGGCGATGGTCCGCCAATTAGCTGAGCTGAAATGACTGAAGGAGTGCTCCGTAATTTCAGTAAAAAAGATAAAACAATTGAATCAATATTTTAATATCAATCAAAAACACAAATAGCTGTTTTGTTATAACATTTGAAAGCAGTTTTATAAAGAAATGGAAATTCAACTTTCCTTTCATGCGTGCTTAATTTTTATGCAATGCAACAAAGAGAACACTATGGCCAACAAGAAATAAATTATTAAACTCCTAAAACCCACAAATTTTGGAAAATTATAAAGCACATTCTCCCTCGACGTTTAATACCTAAATAATAGAATGAAGAAGGCTGCATTTCGTCATAAAGGATTTTTCTATTCATAATATCCGATTCAGTTTCCGTAATTCTCCTTTACTCATTAGTTTGATTCATTAGGTATGATTTACCATTGTTTTTATTGTTAGCACTGGTCAGTTGCTTTATTCGCAACACTAGCAATAGCTACAAACTAGCCATAATTGTGGGCGGTTTAGATTAAAAAGATTGAATGTTTTGTCGGAATTCTAAATGAGATAACGTAAAGTTACACTTCAAATCAAATAGAAAACACATGTGCACATCATTAGTCTGTATGCAGTCAGAATTTTAAAATTCGTTCCAAAAAATTAATTACTATTTGAATATCGTTAATTATTTGTTTTTTTTTTCTCTCTCTCTCTAACAATGTTTTTTTGATCTTTATTGATAGGATGGCGAATGTGTAAGGTAGGAGATATTGATAAGATGATGAATATATAGTTCAACAGCAATATTTGAATAATTAATTCTGGCTAAATTAAGCATTTTGGAAAAAGCAACAGTAAACCCGAATGGAGTTCAGAATGAGAGAAGATAAAAGATAAGCAATCATATAGTGTTTGTAACTGTTATCACTAAAACATATTTCAGGAGAAGCAAAAACTTGAAAGATTGTTAAGGATAAATTGAAGAACTTGCGCAAGATCGAAAAAAAAAGAATGTAAAGTGGAAAATTCTGCGATCTTTTAGAACAAAACTTACTCTCACTTTTGATACTCTGTGCTGACTGACTTTCACTTTTGACGCTGTGTGCAGATCGACGTGAAGTTTCGGATGATTTTGAAGTTTGTGAAACTGTCCTGCTGATTTTGCTTAGTGTCCTCTTAGTATATGATTTGGCTTAAATTTATTAGTAGTATTAAAAGCTATGAATGACAAATTTGTTGAAAAATAGCCAAATAAATAAAAACTTATTATATTTATTTACTTTGAGTAAGTAAATACCGAATTGTACGGGAATATTTTTCAATGATTCCAGAGTTTTTGAAAATTAGGATAAATGTTTAAAAAAAATTTGCAATACATATGTGTAAATGATCAACTTAATTCGATCAAGTTAAATTGAATACCAATTAATTTTAAATGCAATCGATTTTAATTAATTCAGAAAGATCTAGAAAACTTCTAACTCGATTGTCTCGATGATTGCGATGACCCTTCCACATTTGGTGCATTATTTGTTGAAACTGGCGTTACTGGTGCTGGCTGTGTAATGCTTTCTAAAAAAAAAAAAAAAAAAAAAAAAAAAAACTTTTTAAGTTAGGTTTTTAGAATAGATTACAATGATTTGATGTAAAGTGCAAAACTTCTCTTTATTCATAAGAAAGTCATTTATTTATGTTTCCCTAACTTCTATTATGATAAATAATATATCTAGCAATTTACCACTTGTAATTCCTGATATCTGTGATCTCTCGCGTACTTCGGTGTTTGTTATCGCGGAATCAGCCCTCACTTCTGCGAGTTTTGATTCATTAGTCTGTAAAATAGTTTAAAATTCG